ACTGCCCTATTTAGCTCTATAAAATCCAATGTAATTCGGTGGGAAATACAAGTTTTAAGCAGTAATTCTGAGGAAAGTAACCAGGAGCACAGATAAGGTAGAACTGCTCAGGCCGCCATCTTGCCTCGTCCTCCAGTTTCCGAAAGAAGAAAATTAAGGTGACACAACTCCCGTTTTTAGTAAAATATTGAAAATAAAACACAGAAATAGCATGTTTTCATCTGAAAAAGAATTGTTTGCCAAATTATTGAATAAGACTGGCTGGCTCTGACCAATTATATAGGGTATTACTACATACTTAAATCACACTGTTTGCTATCAGTTGTAGATACTGAGAATGACCGAGCAGATAAGCATATGACGCTTACATCTTGTATAAATATCCAGGATACTTATATAATCGATTTAAGTTCATACACCAACCTGTTTGGTCTATTTTTAATCCAAAGATTAATGTTTAATTTAAGATAATTAAATTTAATAGCAAAAGTTTATTTTTGAATAAGAAGTTAGGAATCTTTGCTTTTTCAATAACCAGAAATATTTATAACTTTCTGTGTTTCATTTCAAAGAATGAGGCAGTTTAAAAATGCATGATTTATTACTAACAATTTTAAACTTGACGATTTGAAACGACAATTTATGACAATTAAAAATTACAATTAAAATTGACAATTCATACATGACAATTTACCAGCTTTGATATTAAACTTGTTTAAAAGGCAAACCTGTGTCTGGATGGAAAGCTAAAATGAAATGAGAGTTTTTGGATGCGTGGATGTCAGAATGTCTGTCAGAATGTCTACCTCACCCAGTATAGAAGACCCCCTTTTTGGATCCAAAGTGTCAGGTGGAGATGGTTTCCTCCAGGCACGAGGTTGGTAGAAGGACTTCTGGTGCGACCAAATCGGTCCTGAGATGTCTCCTTGGGTCACTCAACTGGTGGAACTATTTGCGACTCCTAGTCAATAACTCTGAAGGAGTTTTTTCATCAGCTGGTTACAGTTGTGTTTATTCAAAGCTATTCTTATCAGCGTGACAGAACAGCAGGTGGAGGTTAGGGACGGCCATTCCCGTATCCTCAGTGATGGTGGTTGGTTCACGAACTGAAGTTTCTCTGCTGGAAATTTAGTTTAACAAGCCCCTCAGAACACGCCCTCTCAGAGCAAGAAAGCTTTGGTCATGAGTCTAAAAAAACATGTGATGGCAGTTACCCTTTACTCTGGATAAACTCTGTGTTAGATGGATAAGGTGGAAGTTGACCTTCTGATTTGCTGAACACACATTACTGATCATCAACCATAACCACAATTATACCCAAAGCATAATAATTCATTTCAGTAATTAAAAATGCATTTATACTGAACCAAGTGATTATTTATGATGATTATAATAAACCTCAATAAAGTCAAAGAGTTTATTAAAATTATTATTTAAATTATTATCGTGAACTTGAAGTGTCAGTCTTCTGGGACGGAACAGCAGCAGATAAAGGATGGTATTCAGCAGACATCAGGACTCCTCGATTAATCTGTGGAACTAAAAGTTACAGTCTGACCCAGCTGGGAAAATGTGACGTTTGTCACAAATTAGAGGCCCTTCATGACGCCACAATCTGGTGTAAAACATTTCAGAAAAGGCCTACCAGACTAAGTTAAACATGGTAGTGGTATGATGTGGTAACTGATGTAATTAATGGATCATGAATTTGTCTCTCTCGCAGAAAATTTTAAGGGAGAATATTTGATCTTGGCCTAAAGAGCAAGTCACCCCCTACCAGAGTCTTACTCCACTCCCACTTCCTGTTTGAAAAACGCAACAACTGCTGTTGCCTGGCAGAGCACGAAGGCAGAGCCACTAACAAATACACAAACACAGACAGGCTCACAATGACATTGTGACATCATAATGTACCAGCTAAGTCATAGTGTACCTCTTAGCCAATAGCAATGGTGGATTCAAATCCAAATGCAGTGCAGAGTTTTTACCTGAAGACGGCACAACACTGACAGTTTTAGGCAGAAAATTTAAATTTTGACTAAGATGCACTGAAGTGCCAAATGATTCATAACGCATTTCTGCAGCACAGTTACACTCGTTTATATAGATTATTGGCAAAAAAAGTTAATTTGGGGGTGACTTGCTCTTTAAACAGATTATTCATGCTGAAAAAAAATTGGAAACTTCTGTTTAAGTTCCCTGTCTAACAAAAATTAGACATTTCAATGCAAATCATATGGGGAGGGTTAGATCAGGTTCAGCCAACAAGTTGGTATCCCAGCTGTGAAATGTATAACCACAATAAAAACTTTAGGGGGAGCGTAAATGTGTCATGGTCTGCATCCTGCGTTCCCCTCATATGTTCTCCAGCCCACTCCAGGTTCTCCCCTTAGGTTTCTGTGCCCCTTTCGGTCTCCAACCCCTCCAGATGTTCCTGTAGGATCCCCCTCATGTGTACCCAAGCTTCCTGTGCCCCTTCTTGTCTCCAGCTCCCACCAGGTTTCCCAGGTTCACTTATTCTTTAGATCTCTTTGTATTTATATTATCTAGCTATTTTTTCCCTGTAGATTTCATAGGTTCAGGTTTTCTTTTAGGTTCCTTCCCTGTTTCTTCCCCACCGGTTTATTAGTTCTCCCTTTCTCCTAAGATAATTAGTTATTTATCTGGTTCTTCTAGTCTTTAGGTTTGGTTATTATTCATAGGTTATGTTTTATTTCCCCTCCTCAGCTTAGATTCCTCTCCCTGATTAGTAAATTGATTTCACCAGGTTTCCTCGGTTTCTCTCTCCCCACGCACCTGCAGCTACAGTAATCTCCCAATCATCCTGTCCCTGTGTATAAAACCCTGTCTGTGTAACAGTGTGTTGTTGGTCCATTGTCCTTGTCAGCGTTGTTTTGCCCTCCCTCACTCACTCACTCACTCACTCTCTCCCTCCCTCCCTTCCTCCCTAGGTCTCTAGGTTTTTGGCTTTCGTGCCCTACTAGGTTTTTGGCTTCATTCTAAATAAAGAATGTTTTCTTTTACATCCTCTCCTGCCTTGTGTCGTTCTGGGTGTCTGCACATTGGGTCCAACTCCTCCAGCCCACAACGTGACAAAATGTTAAATGTTCATTGTAATATAACAAGTTAATCAACTATTTAAAGTTCTCGTTTGTATTTTTACAGATTAACTTGGAAAGTTTTTATGATATAGAAAACAGACTCCATGGCAACCCAACCTGAGAATTTACTATTTCCTGTACTTTGCAACAATAGTAATTAATCAAACTGCAGGTTGATGTGAATCAGGTGTAAAATCACATGGAAAGCCAACTGCTGCTGCACACTTCAGAGATGTTGGCAGAACATTTTAGGTCTGTGCCGTTCAAGACTTGACGTGCTACTTAAGTGCTGCGAGTGGATTGCCAAAAAAGGAGAATGTGCTCGGGTAAAAGAGGAATAATAATTACATTAATCGGTTAACATTCCTTTGCAGATTCTTCAAGTTTATGGTAACCAAAAATGCAAATGAAGAGTGCAGAGAAGTTAAAGAGCAAGTCACCCCCTACCAGAGTCTTACCCCCACTCCCGTTTCCTGCTTGAAAAATGCAACAAACACTGTTGTCTGGAAGACCGAGAGGGTGTAGATGCTAACAAATACACACACACAGGCTGACAACAACATTGTGACATCGTAATGTACCAGCTAATATCATTGTGTACCTCTTAGCCAATGGCGATGGCAGATTTAAATTCAAATTGAGTGCAGTTTTTACCTGAAGACGGCGCAACACTGACAGTTTTAGGCAGAATAGTTAAATTTTAAATAAGATGCACTAAAGTGCCAAATTATTCACTACACATGCCTATAGAAAGATTAGATGCTCATTTATATAGTTTATCAGCTAAAAAAGTTCATTTGAGGGTAACTTGCTCCTTAAGTTTACTTCTGTTAAAGCATGAAAAGAGTGCAAATGTTTGAGCAACTAACAATAAGGGCCCCTTTATTAAAGTTACTTAGTGCATTATTAAGCATGAATCAACTATTAAATAAAATATTAACAGCTGCTTATGCATATTATGTAATGCATTACTAAGCAGACACCCCCCTGGTCCTTTGCCCTAACCTTAAGAACACCTAATAGTTAACCATAATGGTAAAGTTAATCAAAGGATCCTCTGTTTATTCATGCTTAATTATGCACAAAGTAACATTGATAAAGGGACTCTTATTGTAAAGTGTTACTGAAAAATTCCTTAACTAAATGGCATTCCTCTTTTCTTTGAGTGGATCTTTTATTTTTTGGGGGGGAGGGGGGGTAAAGTAAAAATTTAAAATGATTTAAAAATTTTATTTCGGAATTTTGACAAATATTAATCATTTATTCCCCTGACTGAACACATCTGTATAAAAGTAAATCACCCTGATAATGCTTAATACACAGTTTATTGAACAGATATAAAAGTAAAAATTTTAATTACTTTATTTTTATCTACAATTTAATGCATCTCCATAATTCCCTATTAAATTCGTCTTTTTACCTCTATTTTTCTCTCTTCTTCTATTTTACCTCTTCATCCCCTCTCTCTTTATTCTGCTCTTCCCACCTATTCCACCTTCCTCAGGATCCACTGATTTCCCTCTTTCCTATTCATTCTCTCTCTTTCTTAACATTTTTCTTTTAAATACCAATTGCATTTTTTTGCTCATTTTATTTATATATATATATATATATATATATATATATATATATATATATATATATATATATATATATATATATATATATATATATATAAGTTCAAGCTCAGAAGTCCTGATCTAATGGACTAGCGCCCTCTTGTGGAGGAACATAATACTGTAAGTCATACAAAACTGTCTCAATTTAGAATCGTGATTACTTAGTAAATCTAACTGTTATAATTTTAATGACTTTCAAATTTATATTTAAAACCGAATAACTTATTTGTTCAGCACTTCTCCCTTGAAGTTCCGGAAGCTTTCTGATTGGTTCCGTTCCTCCTGTGATGACGTCTTCCTGTTTCACCGTGAGGACACGTGCGGCTCTGAACATCTGAGCTGAGGAGGATAAAACAACAAACCTTCGACTTTACACTTGTCTTTCAGCTCTCCGGGTGTTTCTGTTTTTAGGGGGCTTTGCCAGAAAAGCGGCCAACATGGTGAAGGCTCGGTTTAAGGGAAAGAGCACGATAAACCCATCGTCGTCCAGCTCCAACCCCGGTGAGCTTCACAGTTTGTTTACACTCAATGCTAAAATGCTAGCTGGTGTTACACCAAAATCTGTTCCCCGGTCAAAAACAGTGTTTTTCCACAGGCTTCGTGGCGTTTTCCCCGCAAACGATATTGTTTTAAGTGACCGTATTTTAAGAAAACTGATAAAAGAGAAGATTATAATTTAGTTTTCGAGTTATTTTTTATCTATTGTTGCACCGGGAACATCTTGTTGACATCTTTCCCCCTGTGTTCAGTAGAGACAGCACAGACGCTTTAATTAAGTATTTCCTTAATGAAATACTCATCCTCAGATTTTTGTTCCCTTACATTTAAAATTGTGTCTTTTTGCTTTATCCATGCGTCCCAAAGGCTGGAAATCTAGACAGATGGAGGTTCAATTTTTGATGGGGAACATATTTCAACGTAACACCAGTGTGAGGATGTCTACACTGGTTTAGGCTTTTAAGAGTAAATTAAACAAACCCAAAATTTGCCGAAGTCAGATTAAGATTGTAGATGCAAAATCTATAAGATAAAATATGCCAAACTTGTTCCTTGAGTCTGATGATGTCACTTAAAAGTTGCCACGCAGTTACACAATACCATACCATTTTATTTATAAAGCGCATTCAACAAGGCATTACAACCAAACAAGGCGCTGTACACTAAAAATGTTAGTTAATTAAACCGGCGTCAGACAGTCATGTAGAACAGAGATAAAAGATAAAAAGAAAAAACAACAAAATTCTTAGAACTAGCAGTTAAAAATCAATAAAACACAGGGAGAATATAAAAAATAAGAAAACATTTTAAAAATAACCCCAATAATACGGAAGTTGATATTGTGCATTCCATTTTTAAACAATGTAGTTGTAAGTGAGGTTCATAATTATGTGGTATACACTAGGTTGAAGTAGTGAGTTTTCAAGCGTGATTTAAAAATGCTAGCTGTTGGTGCTTGCCTCACTAGTAGTGGTAATGCGTTCCACAGCTTGGGTGCACAGACAGAGAAAGCCCTTTCTCCACAGCTTTTTAAACGTGCATTCGGAACAGCTAGAAGGAGCTTTTCTTCGGACCTGAGAGCACGCGGCGGATTGTAGTAATGGACAAGTTCACACAGATATGGAGGAGCTTGATGGTTCAATAATAAATAACATTACAATTTCCCCTAAAGATGGATTTTGTTGAAAAGTCCAGTGCATGTTTAATGCATACAACATAATTACAAATCAGCTCTACTGAATGGATTCTGCAGATCGACCCAAGGGTGCTGGAGGGAGCAACATGAGGGATCGAGCCACCGTCAAGCGTCTGAACATGTACAGACAGAAGCAAAGATGGTAATAAATAACATACTAGAACAACATTTCTGGGGCATTCTTAAGTTAAATATAGCTACTGATCCTGTGCTTCATTCAACAGTAACAAACATGGAAAAGTCATCAAACCGTTACAGTTCCAGTCCACTGTAGCTCCAGGGACAGTAGCGAGGGTTGAACCGAACATCAAATGGTTTGGTGAGTATAAGTTCTTACTGTTGCCTACGGTGTTGTGGTGTGATATGTAAAACGTCTCATCACGTGGCCTGATTTGGTCTGTGATCGCGTCTTTGTCACATTTCTCCTCTAAAGCTTACAGAACATTCTTTCCCAGTATTTGATCTGGTGTTTCCTTGAAACTTTCTCATCATATCGAGGTATCGGCCGATGTTAGCCATTTTTATTGTATCAGTATCAGTCCAATAAATATCGGTTATCAGCCATAAAAGTGATATTAATATTGGTAATATCTGCCCAAAAAAATCTTATTGGTGCATCCCTAGTTAATAGTAAAGAACATTTAAGAAGCTACTTAAAAGGAAAGTGTCACAGGCAGCTGAGTACAACTAGGTAAAATAAACCGTTTAGCCTACATATGATCTTTAGTAATAAGACATGTCCGCTACGACCCATAGACGGAGCTCAAAGTGTGGGAAGGAATCTTTGGTTGCCTTTCAGACTGCGTTTGCACGCAATTGGACAGCGTTGGAACCAATGAGAGCAACAAATAACACGAAGTATTAATTTCTATGAAAGTAATGGGCCATTCCCATCTGTACCGGGTCGGACCGGGCCGGGTAGCGTAGGTTGTTTACATATCTGGGTGGCCTGGTATTTTTCCGGGCCAACCAAGGCTCATACTCAGCCCTCTTCTCGAGGGGGTCTGCTTCAGGCCGACCAGGGCCAACACACCCACTGCTGACAGCAAATTCACACCTTCCACTAGAGCAAGCCTCTGATTGGTGGGTAGAATCAGCCCACATGGACTTAAGGCAAGGATGTGTGGAATCAACCGGGCCAGGCTGGGGCCGACTGGGGCTACCCGGCCCGGGCCGACCCGGTACAGATGGGAATGGCCCATTAGTCAATCGGGCAGTCCGTCATACCCTGTAGAAGAAGAAGATAAAGCAAATGTGTCCTTTGTTTTAAAAGAAAAGAACTAAAGTATGGTACCTCTATCTGCTTATGTCTCAAAGAACAGCCCAAGTCTAAACCATCCGGAGTTGATGCCAATGCTGTTTCAAACGTCCAATATTCCTGAGCCATCTTTGTAGTTTTTCTCCGTGGCTGCTCTGGTGCTAAACTTAACCAATGTCCTTCTACAAACATTGAGGGCTGCGATTGCCCTGAACTAAAATGTGTTGGGCCTGCTGAGGATACAGTGGTGGCTAGATTAACCTGTAGAGTAAAGTGTTTGTCTTTGACCAGATTTCTAGGCTAATGAATGTGATTAATAGCAGGAAATTGTATTTTTCTCCAGTTAATACCCGAGTGATCAAACAGTCATCCCTACAGAAGTTCCAGGATGAGATGGGAGCCGTCCAGAAGGATCCATACCGTGTGGTGATGAGGCAAAGCAAACTGCCCATGTCTCTTTTACATGACCGAGTCAAAGCCCACGTGAGTATAAACAGACTATAAACCCTTCATCCCTTAAACGGCATCCTCTCTTTCTTTTTCCGTTCTGGTATCATTCTGCTAGCTGGTACAGGTAAGCTTGTCCAAAGGGGGTGTCATTTATTTTACCGGTTTTGGCACAGGAAGCTTTATCCCGTTTCTAATGTTTGACATTCTGGCTCCTATCAAGCATTCCGAGTTGTTTTCGGTGCATTTTCATGAACTCGTTTCATTGCATTTTATGAGGTGAGATGAACTTATGGCTGTCTTTAATCATCATTTACTTCTGGCATTTTATTAGACACTTCTTTTGTTGCCAGCCTTCTTTGTCTCATCTATTTAAACCAAAGCTGTCTTGGTTCTTTTGCCATGTGCTGTCATTTTTTTCATGAAAAGAAACATCTTGTAAAAATAAAGGGTACACTAACCTGTTTATGGGTTCTGTAATTCTGTGTGGGGGGAATTAGTTTGGATTCCTGCCTCAAGGTGTTGCTGTTGTTGAACCCTGTAACCTGTAACCCTCTGTTGCAACAGAAGTATGGCTTTAGTTTTAAGATCAGTGGAACACTTAATTAGCACAGTTCTAGCTCTGTCTCTGGCCCTATTGTTGCATTTTTGGGTGCTCGGTTTACCGTACCCTGTATGTCCCTTAATCACTGTGACTTTATCCAAGCTGGTTCTAATTCAGGAAAGCCAGAATTTACTCTGATTTGACATCAGTTTGCTGTGGATAGAACTCTGCAGCCATCACTGTGACTTAATTCCATCTTTAGCTTAATGCACATACCGTATTTTCCGGACTATAAGTCGCACTTTTTTTCATAGTCCGGCTGGTCCTGCGACTTGTATACCAAAGTGACTTATATACCAAATTATGTAAACCGCGCTGCTGCGGGCCGGCTCCGGTCCAGGTTTCAGCTCCTCTGCTCCGCCATCACCTGCTGGCGCCTGTGGCGAGCTGCTGCGGGCCGGCTCCGACCCAGGAATGAGCTCCCCTGTCCCGCTGGGAGGGTTTGAAACACCGCCATCCTCTGCTGGAGACCGTGGTGCGCCGCTGCGCCCTGGTTGTTTATTCTGTCATTGTTATTGTTCGGGTTCACACCTTCACTTTGTTTATACTCATGATTTTATTTTCTATTTTATCACTGCTATTGTTTTTCTGATTTTTTTTTATTGGTTAGAGGTATTTGCCCTGATCTTTATCATGTTGTACAGCGCTTTGTGATTTATATCTGTGAAAGGCGCTCTAAAAATAAACTTTTACTTACTTACTTACTTACCGGTACTTGTCTTGCAATGTAAAATGCTTGGTCTCAGATTTTGTAAGAAAAATAATAAAATTTTCCCCAAAAATGCGACTTATAGATGCTTTTTTCTTCTTCATTGTACATTTTATGGCTGGTATAACTTGTACTCCGGGGTGACTTATAGTCCGGAAAATACGGTAACTACAGCATTGTTGATCAAATTTCTGTACTATTAGATATGTCTCCTGCACTGGGCTGTGTAGAGAAACTTGTAAAATGCAGTTTAGTCTTATTTCTTTTTTTTTTTTTTTTTTTGTACAGAATTCAAAGGTACACATTTTAGACACGGAAGGTTTCGAGACCACATTTGGACCCAAGGCTCAGAGGAAACGGCCCAGTCTCGTGGTTGAGGATGTGAAGGACCTGTTGGAGAGAGCCGAGGCCTCGGCTCTGAGCTACGACGCCGACAAAGACAAAGACTTGGTGACAGAAGACTCAGGGGTCCGGTAAGTGCTCAGGAGTTGGGAGTCTCCAATTTTAAGGTTTGAAGATGATTATTTTTTAATCATGGTTCTGCAACAGGGACGAAGTCCGCGAGGAGATTTTCAAGAAGGGTCAGTCCAAGAGGATCTGGGGAGAACTCTACAAGGTAGGGATGTGTATTGGTGAAATTCTGGCGATAAAATACAGGGTAAACGATACAATATAGCACGATATATTGAGATGCATTCAGTCAGACGATATTAGAGATTTTTTTTTTGACTGAATTTATTGTAGGAAAGTTCAATAATCAGTCCAAACTGATACCTAACATGTTTAGCATGAGGTATCTGAACCATAATTGAGGGATAAACATCTCAATGGTGGAAACAAAACCCATTGCACACTGCTGCTAACTAGCGGACGGTGTCTGAATTGCGCCAATACAAAAGAAAATACACAAATGTTTGCATGAAAATTCTTCCAAAAATTAGATACACGGCTTTTGAATATCGATATGTCGCTGGAAAAAAATCACGATAGATTGCCATATCATTATTTTCTCACATCCCTACTACAAGGAGATTGTTTTTATCCTCCTTTAATGATTTGTCCCTTTCCAAATAGTCAAAATTGGGAATAGGGCCAAGAGTCCCAGTAATCAATCGTAGCTAGGCCTGTGCAGTACACCAATTTATTATATGAAAATTTCATACGCTTGGTCATTCCGTACGCTACATATCGTATATTTTGGTGAATAGCCTAGACAACGTCTGAAACATTCACAGTGGGAAAGTGTTTCAGCCGGGACCCATTTCACTGCTACACAATAACCCCACAGCGTGTGCGAAAAGTAAGCATTTAGCATGCTAATGCTAACACAGCGGAGGTAGCTGGGCCAAATGCACGTAATTATGTGTGTGTATCACACTTGGGACGCATTGTTGTGCTGTTTCACACGTAAAAGAAAGTCAGCTGTTATGTTTAATGGTGGACAGTAATGGTCATGTTGGTGGGTTGGGGTTGTATGGATGGACTGTTTCATCATTCTTGTTTACTGTTATTCTTAATTAGGAGCATGTATTGGCAAGACAATAAAATATTTTGCGATACTAAAAGCCAGGCGATATTTGCAATTTTCAAGATTGAATTTAATTGTAAAACTCAGGCCAGACCCTTCCAGGAACACACATCCATCGTTGTTGCGAGATCTCGTTGTTCCACAAGACTGAAGGACGATAAAAACTGCTGCCACCTAGCAGTGGGAGGTGGAATTGTTTGCACATAAGTTCTCAATGAAAAAATTGATAAACAGCTTTTAAACGTAACAGCTCCTCACAAAATATTGTGAAGTTCCGGTACATCAGTGTTCTCTCACATCCCTATCATTAACAGGTGATTGACTCGTCTGATGTCGTCATCCAAGTGCTGGATGCTCGGGATCCCATGGGAACGCGCTCCAAGAGCATCGAGACTTATCTGAAGAAGGAGAAACCCTGGAAACATTTGATCTTTGTGTTGAACAAGTGTGACCTCATCCCCACCTGGGTCACGGTGAGATGTTTGCTGGGGTTGGACTGGAACTAACTGAATTCATCCTGTAGATATCCATAAATATGATGAAGTTGTAACCATTTGCCTCTCCTCTTTTTACTTTTGAACCAGAAACGTTGGGTAGCTGTTTTGTCCCAAGAGTATCCGACTCTAGCTTTCCACGCCAGTCTGACTAACTCTTTTGGTAAAGGCTCCCTCATCCAGCTCCTGAGGCAGTTTGGGAAGGTAAACCCCGTCTAAGAGCTAATCATGTCTTAAGCAAAAACAAACTTCAAGAATATAGTGACAGGAAAAAATCCAGAGAATTGACCCTTTTGGTTCTGTTTGAGTCACCGTCACCTGCTGACTACTCTCAAAGTCATTATTGGCTGTACACCTCTTTTGGAGTTGACCCAATCTAAAATGGCCACTGCAGATAATCACCTAAATAAAATGTGACAAATGCCTTTAAATCAGTGAATTCTCCAACTAAGCAACTAAAATTCATGTTTCAGGAGCAGACAGTGCTAACGGATATTTTAAGATTGTGCCATAGAGTGAGAGGTCACATATAAAGTTATTTGGTAAAATCTTGATCACTTTGGTCTCAGTTTAAACCTCTAGCCAGAAAGTGAGTGACCTGTGATTGAACTAAAACAGAAACACATCTATGTTATAGGAGAGATGGTTATTTCGACCTGCTTGGATTCCAGTAAAGCGTTTTACTCGCCACAAATAATAATCTAAAATTTGTAATCCACCTTATGTGGGCAAAACCAAGTTTAAAATGTGGGTAATTTGTGCAAATTGGCTTATTCTGGGTACATTTTCTTGCTCTAAGATGAAGTCAGTGTCCTGTTTTCCCCAAACTTCTTACTCTTTGTTTGTCATCACTAGCCTCCTTCAGTTGCTTTTTATTTTGTGGATTTTAGGGAAAAACATGTTGAGTTAAGCTTTTGAGAGTGGCTCAGTATCCTAAGGTTGGGGATTTAATTGCCCTCTGCCAGTAGGCTGAGCCCTTCACCGATTGTTCTTCTAGAGGCGTCTTTCATGCCTATGAATTAGCCTTGTGGGTCGGACATTACCTACGTGCAGGTCAAACCACTCTTTAGGATTCTTGTCACTTACCCAAACAAGGATACAACTGTAACTAGTATGGATGTGTACTAATTCTAACAGTACAATTCATATCACGATATACTGCGATACATTCAGCCAGGCGGTATTAGCTTTTGTTTTAGTTTTTTAACCTGAATTTATTGTAGGAAAATTCAATAAACAGTCCAAACTGATACGTAACATTTTTAACATGAGGTATCTGAACCATAATTGAGGGATTTACATTTCAGTGGTGGAAACAAAACCCAGTGTGCACTGCTGCCACCTAGTGATTGGTGCCTGAATTGCACCAAAAATAAAAGAAAATACACAAGTGTTTGCATGTAAATTCTTCCGAAAATTCAAAACATGGCTGTTGAAAATTTATATAATATTGCAGGAAAAAAGTATTGCGATATATTGCCATATGGAGATTTTCTTACATCCCCAGTAACTAGACACACCAACTCTGCAATTTCTAGGTAATATGTAACTCACTGTTCGAAGCTTCTTATCACCGACACAACAGAACTATCTTGGTCCACAAGGGTCCAATAAAGTAATTAACCTCCAGTCTACATTAAATAATTTAACACCACTAAAACGTCCACATTTCCTTTAGATTCCACTCGCCATCATGTAGCGTCCAGAAATGGTCAGTTTTTCATCTACGGTTTGACCTCTTAAGTATCCGGTCATATGGAGACGTAAGTCTTAACTGGAGCCTTTAATCTGTAAGAAGGATACTGTTGCTTGACCAAGGTCCCTCTCAAGTTTCCTCTTTATCTGCTTTGCTTCGCAGAACAAGAAGAATGAACTTTTATAAGAATGAACCGCTATAACGAATACTGGATGATGTAATGAAATACGTAAATAATCATATGGTTGAATGAACAATAATGGCTGAAGAATAATAACGACGTTTTGATTAATCTGTGCTTAAATTACTGAAGTTGAAATGAATATTTTTATGTTGTGATCAGTAAAGTTTGATTTAACAAGTGAATCATTCATCTACTGACAGCTCACACACTCACACACATGACGATGACAAGGTTACAGTAATCTCATGACACATTGCTTTCTGGTCCACAAATAGAGCTCCTGTATCTGATGCAAGGTGTGGTTTCTGAGGTTTGTTGACAAACCCCCTTTACGTGTCAAATTCTGATTTGTCAGTAAGTCAAAATATGGCGATTATTAAAACAGAACTCACTTCCTCGTGCGTCAGTTGAGCTGAACTCTGGACTGGCCATCGGAGGACAACTCTTCTCCCATCGCACGCTACAGCTGACCGCAAACGGTTCCTTCAGAATAAAGCTGACGCAGCTCCGACTCCTTAAGACCGGATACTGAAGAGGTCAAACTGTAGATGAAGAACTGACCAATTCTGGATGCCACAATAACCTTCATTAGCATCCTCTTATTAGCTGCAAGATCTTGCTAGTCCAACAGGTAATGGGGTACCCCCTCTGCTGCATCAGCTGTTGGCCGATAGGTCAGAAGCACCGCCCCCTAATCTCACCTGCGTTGCTCAAACCAGTTGCAGTGAAGTATATTGTTGATTGACACATCAAATAGTTGATAAAATTCAGACAACAATCTCTCACGAGAACCCTTCACGGTCTCTTCACACGAGCATTATTATACTTTAATCCTAAGGAAATGTTCTTTCTTTCCATAAAGTTATTCAGGTTGCTTTTTATGAACTATTTGCATTTATATTCATCTGCTTTAGTTTTTCTCTCCTGCTTTTGAAGCAGTTGAGTAAATCTGTGAAACATTTTCACTTTTTCTCTCCATCATTACTCACATTTATCAATAAGCAGCAATCAGTTTCTCTGTCAGCTGCTCCACCTGAACTCTGCTTCCAGCGGGTTTGAAGAATGATGTGGTTTGTGTTGAATGATGAGGCTTTCTTCTGTATTCTATCAAGATGACAGCTTCATCTTTAAAATATCACATTCCAGTTTGTTGCACCGGTCTGCTCTTGTGTTTTAAGTTCATGAGTAATAACATCTATGTTGTTATTGTGATGACAACAGGGGACCAATCTAAAATTACAGCTCTTAACCCCAAAATTCCACTATCTCCGCCCCCGCCCTCCGCTGCCGCTCGCTTCCGAACTCAGATTATACTGTACCCGCTCTACAACGGCTCCGCTCCGGTGCGGAGACCTGAGTTGCGTAAACAGGCATGCGCGGGATTTTTGAGATCTTGTGATACAGTCCGAGCAATAAACGCGGAAGTTAGATCCAAACACCCGTTGTGTGGGAGAAGCATCGAAAAGAACCGTTTAATCCGCCCATCATTTGTGTTGAGAGATCAGCAGTGTTTGAATCAACAAAGTGTGACTACTTTGATAGTGGAAACGGTATTTATGGCTTAATTTTGTGCATTTAAAGTTCAACCGCGTTGTTAAAAGTTGTTAAACCTGTGCATTTGAAACAAAAAACGCTTTTTGTTATCGATTTATTGTGAAATAACGGAAGCTGTGCTTGCTCCCTTTCCTGTTGGGTGGTTGTGATTTCTGTCCATTTACTGCGGAGGTGCTCCGGCGTCCGGCAAAAATAGAATCGATCCTATTTTTGCCGGATGACGGAACGGAGGGCGGCGCAGTGCGCCGCACGACCGCAGTAGTGGAACAGCTCTGATTGACTACAACGGGACCGTTTTTGCTGCGGAGTTCGTGCCGGAGCGGCGATGGTGGAATTTTGGGGTCAATCAAGTCATTTGTCACAAAACAATGCAGAGGTTTTCTTTCTTGTCTTTTTCAGCTTCACACAGACAAGAAACAGATAAGTGTGGGTTTTATTGGCTATCCAAATGTGGGAAAGAGCTCAGTCATCAACACTCTGCGGTCCAAGAAGGTGTGCAATGTGGCGCCTATCGCAGGAGAGACTAAGGTACAGTCCAGTTGTCCCAAGAGACAAAGAACCTGAAATCCAAAATAGAAATTGACTTTGCTTTTAAATTAATTTTATAAATTGTGTTTGTCTTATTTTGTATTGAAATGGTGGGAAAGGTATAGACGATGAGTCAGTAAATACTAATGACTTTTATTTAATTACCTTTTTATTTTAATTTTTAACAACAGATCACTTCTGTGAGGTAGCTTGAACAATCAAGTAATAAATAACATAAATTCTTCACTTTTGGACTTTATTGCAAATATAAAAAGTCTAATATAAAAACAGATAGCACTTCAACTTCAACCTAAAATACCTGGCAGGGCATTTTGCCTCGGCCCCCAAAAGGCTTAGATACGTCCCTGGGACGGAGTTTTGAAGATGATCTGAATTGTAACAACTATATAAATACTACATGCTGATAAATTATTGGTTTATACAGGTATAAACATTTAGTGGGATCAGTCTACCTAGATTTTATTTTGTTAGAACTTTGTTTTGTTTTCTTGGTTTTTATTTTCCTGTCTTCCTGTCCTGTCTGTCTCTGATCTTCCTGCATCTCCCAGTCCTCCAGAAACACTCCTGCCTGCTTCCTTCGTATTCACCTCACAAGTAACTTTTTAACCAGCAGATCAAATTAATCTATTGACCGCAAAAAAAGCGGAGTGTGCGCCGCGCTGCCTGGCAGCTCCAGCGACGAGTGCTGCAGCGGGGGCACGTCCACACGTCATGCTCGAATACAGACAGAACTTACCAGAGAGAAAATGAACGGACACGAATGACTGTGTATTAATTATATATTTTTGGGTGACGCCACTTCGAAACTTAGAAAATGTTACTGTGGCCGTGTGCAGAACGCAGCTGGAGTTCATGAATAATCAGCGGTCTGCCTGCTGCTCTCTGCATCTCTGCTCTAAAGAATCCCCGCTACACTGAGTCCATATAAATAATATAAAATAGGTAGAAACTGGATCTTTGTTGTGCTCCTTCTGGGTGTGTAAGTTAAGGACATCAGGGGAGCCTGACGACCTTTAAGGAGAACCAAGTTGCTCTCCTGTAATTTGAGCCCAGTCTCCCAGTCCGGATCGGGAAGTAAAGCCCGAGTCCCGATCAGTCTGAAACCACGTGATCGGGGCCGATTTCCAATCATGTGATCGGGACATCCCTACTGGAAATTATAGCTTAAATTTATTTTAAAAAATAGCTTCAATTTGGTCAAAGTGGCCTTAAGAAAAGGTCTTAAAAGGTCTTAAATTTGGCTCCCTTAAACCTGCAGATACCCTGAAAGAGACAAAATACTCTATTTTTGATTTTTTTGTTTTTGTATGCAAATATTTACAATTGACAAAAAAAGTCCAACTAGACAAAAACCTTAAAATGAAGGAGAGACACTCCTGGTTTTCTCTAAAGTTTTATTATTATTTCCTTTTCTTGCATCATACTTGCACCACCAATGGTTAATACCTTTCTCCTGACTCTAGGTGTGGCAGTACATCACTTTGATGAGGCGCATCTTTCTGATTGATTGTCCCGGTGTAGTCTACCCATCTGAGGACAGCGAATCTGACATTGTCCTGAAAGGAGTGGTAAGTCTCATTGATCTAGTGTTGACGTCTCGACTAACCCCCGTATTTAATCATTTTAGAACAATTCTCCAGGTGTTTAAAGAACGATGCAGTCATGAGGGATTTCGTTTCAGTGGAAGAAAATACTTTACAGGAGACATGGTCCATCCAGCATCGGGATACTTAGCAACTTTTTCTTTTTTTTTTTGAATAATTTTCTTGAGCCAATATGTGCTGAAATAACCCTTTTTACAGGGTTATTGCAATGGTACTCATACCCCCGCTGCCCCCTACGCATCTGCAACTTCAGACTGGCCGCCACTTGTGGACTTAGAAAAAATTACATGCCTGGTGCTGCGGTCTGCTTCCAGCACATTTCTTGCATGTTTTAGGTCATGAACACAGCTTATTTGTTTTATTTAGTGATGTAGCAATTAATACATATTAATTACGACCAATAAGATGTGATATTCCATACAAATATGAAATATCTATCTGATTGATCTTTGAATGTTTAATCGGAAGATTCTAGGGTTCTTTGCTTGTTCAGGGACCATAAACACACTTCGTATTAATTCAGACAGAGTCAGTATATAGTTCATAAAATGAGTTTCATTCTTTTTCCTAAACTAATGATAGATGACAAGATATGAATAAGGAGATGTGGTGTGGTGGATTTGAGGTGTTGTGATGGAAGCTAGATGTTGTAGCAACCGTTCTTTGTATCTGAGAGAAATTGTTAAATCTCGGTGTAAAAGAATTTGTTGTTTGTTATAAACTAGAGAATTGTTTATTTATAAACCTCATCGGACACCAGTATGCAGGCTTACGATACCCTTGTATGAGTTGCTCCTGGTGGTCCAGAGGGGTGTGGTTGAGTGGTGAGGTCACCGGACGTCGAAACCAAAAGACTCCGAGATTAGTAGCTTCCTCTGAGCTCAGCTTCCCCAGCCATGAGATGCAACCCGGGGTCTGCAGATTAGGTGTCCAAGGTGGATGTCTGAGTTCAAGTAGCTCTGAAAAGAGCTGTTGTGTCTTTAATCACTTGCAGCGTCGCAGAAAGGTTTTGACTTAAGGCCAAACACATTTGTTTCAGAAGAGGCTTCTTTCCCGATTTGGCCGAATCGGGGGGTCAGCTGGAATCTGAATTACTCGGGAAGTAATTCTCGTTTTAATAAACTCATTATTTATAATTTCTGGCGTATTCTGGCAAATCAGAATGTGCCATGACTGGAAGGCTTTACCAAGACATCCCTGAGAAAGCCACGCCTTCTTGTTCATTCATCACATATGATTATTTAACTTATAACTGTAAAATCATGGAGTCTTCACTCATTCAGAGTGAAGAATGTTGATGTCTGGCGTTCACACAGAGAGCGTAAGAACCTTGGGTGAGAATGTTTGAATGTTTTGTCTTGATGGAATGTCAACACACACTAAGCAGAACCTTCTGGTTCTGGAAGGCCAAATAGAAATTGGATTTATTTCTGTAGATGAAAGGTTATTATGTTGATCAATGTCTAGGTGAAAATTAACCCTTGTGGTACGTTACAGTGAGGATCCCACTTGGACGTGTCTTTAAAACCATAAGATGAAGCGCTAAAAGCCTTTCTTGTAAAGAAATTTGTTTGTGCCATCACCAGACTCCATCTTTGACTACAGCTAAAAAACTACAGTATAGCGCGATGCAGTTGTCATTTCCGCCTTTTTACTGATTGGTTATTTTTGAGCTGGCTAGTCCCGCCCCTCACTGGGCGCTCAGTATCCAGACTCATCCTCTGTGTAGAACAGACAGAGGACAAGCCTGGCAGGCTGGGCTAATATCACCCAGCCCCAGCTAGGAGATAACTTTTGCTTCTGGTTTTACTAAACGGACACTAGGGGGTGCTAAAAGCAAGCCAGAACTGCCTGGTCTTTTGTTCAACTCAAGCCGTTCCCACTGAAGGAGTTCTAGGACATTTCTGGGAGGGAGAAAAGTGGCCAAGAGATGTGATGGCTCGGTACTTTCAGCTGTCGTCTCCGAGTAAGCCACAGAAATCTCGCCGGCCCCAGCACCACAAGACATCCACGAACATTAATACCATTAAAGAGCCTTCGCCGAGAAACCATTGTTTATTTATTATTTTTGAAAATGATCGGTCTCTCTGAGTTTGGACTCACCCATCTTGACTCACGATGGGGAAGGCCATTGTTGGTTTAGCATCCAGGAAACAGCAGAGAATGCCTCGACTAGTAGAAGCTAACCGTTAGCATTAGCAATGCCACCACACAGCAGTATTCCACCAGGCTTGTGATATTTGTGCATATAAGCATCCACGTTGCAAATCAGTGGTGGAGTTGCGTTGCTGTTATACAGTCCGAGGCGAGATGTCCAAATATCAGGAAATAAGACTCAGATCCTGCCGTCTGACGTTACTTTCTCCCCTGGCTGAATTCTCCACGCAGAAACTGTCGCACCTGAGCTCTTACAAGACATTCATTCCTGCTAGAGGCCACCGCAAATTCAGCAGTCTTTTTCTGTCAACGTGCGTCATAATTTCATCCGGTCGGAGGATGGAAGAGTGGCTGCGTGACGTTAAAAGCGTTCAGTGACCAGAAGAAGCGCCGTTTTCTGTTGTTAATTAAATTTTTCTGGGGGGTTTCTGCTGTTTTTTTTTTTAAGTCCCATTTAGTCGTCACACACACAGGTGTGTGGTGAAATTTATTCTCCGCATTTGACCCATCCCCTGGGGGAGCGGTGAGCTGCAGACAAGCCGCGCTCGGGAACTATTTGGTGGTTTAACCCCCCAATCCAACCCCTTAATGCTGAGTGTCAAGCAGGGAGGCATTGGGTCCCATTTTTTTCAAAGTCTTTGGTATGACCCGACCAGGAGTCGAACCCTGATCTCCCGATCTCAGGGCGGACACTCTACCACTAGGCCACTGAGGCCACGGCGATTTAAAAGCAGAGTGAATATTGTTTATTTACGTTACATTCTTCTTCACCAGCAGTTCCGAATTTGCAAAAATTGTTTGGCGACATCTGCTGAGGCCATTTCCTACTGAGTTGCAACCAATCAGCATGAGTTACCCAGCTCAGCGGCCTAGTGGTAGAGTGTCCGCCCTGAGACTGGGAGATCAGGGTTCGATTCCTGGTCGGGTCATACTAAAGACTTAGAAAAAATGGGACCCAATGCCTCCCTGCAGGACACTCAGCATTAAGGGTTGGATTGGGGGGTTAAACCACCAAATGGTTCCCAAGTGCAGCTGTGTCTGCAGCTCACCGCTCCCCCCGGGGGGGTCAAATGTGAAGAACAAATTTCGCACACACATCTGTGTGTGTGACAACTGACTGGACTTCAACTTCAACTTTAACTACAAGCTCTACAAGAGTAGCGGGCCTTTTTGAGTACTTGCACCATTTCGGGTTGGCCAGACCGATAAATCTGACCCCTAATTCAGAGGATCACTGTAGTCGCTGTAACTCACAACGAAGTTATTGTAGATTTAATTTTTTTTTCCTCTTTGTCACAAAGGTTCAGGTGGAGAAGATCAAGAACCCAGAGGACCATATAGGGGCGGTGCTGGAGCGAGCCAAGCCCGAGTACATTCAGAAGACCTACCGTGTCCCTGCATGGACATCTGCTCAAGACTTCCTGGAGAAGCTGGCGTTTCGCACGGGCAAACTTCTCAAGGTCGCCCATTGGTTTTTTCATTTTCTGTGTCTCGTTGTGCAAGATTTCAGTTTGGTTTAGTGCTGAATCTGTTTTAATGCAGTGTGTGTGTTTGTTATTTATGTGTGCAGCATGTATTTATTAACAGAAACATTGTTTTGTTTGTGTCATGCAGAGGGGTGAGCCTGATCTCAGCACGGTCTCCAAAATGGTGTTAAATGACTGGCAGAGGGGACGAATTCCCTTTTTTGTGAAGCCGCCGGGTCCTGAGGGAGAAGAAGAAGTAAGAGTTAACGGAGTTAAAACTTTAATGTGTATTTGGTCTCATCAGCAGCCTGTTGCTTTTATTTGATTCTTTTGTATCGGGCTTCTTTAGGATGGAAAACCGTTGCCAGTTGAAGCACCTACTGCTGTAGTGGAGAAGGTGCAGGAAGAGCAGCCAGAAAATCTGGACACCGTCTCTGAGGAACAGTCAGAACAGCAGCAGAGACAGAAAGAGCAGGTCCAGAAGATCCTCGCTAACGTCCAACAAAACTTTGGCAAGATCAACGTAGCTCCGGAGTTCAGCGAGGAAGACCTGATTCCAGTGGACATGCCTGACCTGGACGTGTCCGACTTCTCTGGCTCTGATGCTGACGAAGGTGATGGAGAGGAAGATGAAGCCATCGCAAAGCCAGCTGATGAAGAGGAGGGGGTCTCTGAGGCTGTGACTTCTCAGACTGATAGAGCACAAGTCAAAAAGAGTTCACGAGAGGTCATACGGGAGCTTGATGAGAAAATCGCCAAGTATAAGCAGTTCCTGGACCAAGCTAAATCCAAGCGCTTCTCTGCAATTCGGTGAGTTCTTATGTTATCCTACGTGTCAGTCTGCACACCACCCCTCTTTAGTTGATCTGGCAGTAAGATGGCAGGCGGTGCAAAGGAGGTGATCTGTGCACACCGATTCAGGAGTGGCGTTTTAGCTCGTCAGAGGTCAGTTTCTAACACGCATGTCTTGTCCAGCAGACGACAGCTTTTAAATTTGCTTAACCGAGCCTTTCCACTGGACGCGTCGGTGAAGCGTAGTCTGCAGGAGTCAGCCGCTTCGAAGGTGGATGGGTGTTTTTTCTACCAGCTGTGAAGCGGCGCGTTTTGGAGTCTACATTTTACTTGCTAATGTGTCCATTCAAACACAAGAGCAGTGTCAAACATCCAGAAACTTGGAAAAATAAAAGATTTCCAGCTGCTTAACTTGTTAAAAAAATTCGTCTGTCATCACCCGTGAGACCGTTGTAGCCAAAGTCCCACGGACCTTTTTGGATACGTTTAAATCTGCGTGTCATCTCGTAAGCTACAGAAATCACGCAAAGTTTTTGCAATTCTTTGGTGATTTTGTGATCTTGCGAGACTGTCTTGAAACCAGGGTATCCGCGGGTCCTTAAAAGTCTTAAATTAGCTTTTCCAAATTTAAGGCCTTAAAAATCCTTAAAAATGACAAATAATCCTTAAATACAGTTTCCAAAGGTCTTAAATTAACAAAGACCCAATAAACAAGATTCTTTTATTTCTATAAAATTTTCATGAATTTCTAGTTAGTGCAGGATTTTTTGTGTGTGATGTTGGTGTAAGCGGAACCGTACACATTCAGCTGGTTGTGAAAGGGGGCTATGTTTAGATGAGCACATTAGCTGGTTAAGCTAGTGGGAGCTTGAGCCATGGGGAAGGTTAATGGTAACTGGATGGTTAATCCCACGTTCGCGACGTGGTTAGCACCGGTTCCAGGCAATAGCTGGAAATTATAGCTTAAATTTAATTTTAAAAATAGCTTAAATTTGGTCAAAGTGGCCTTAAAAAGGGTCTTAAAATGTCTTAAATTTGGCTCCCCTAAACCTGCAGATACCCTGTGAATGCCACCTGTGGGTAGGGACGTGTCACTGCGCTTGTGGGTAAAACGCTCCAATTACCATACCTGCAAACTTGTCGCTTTTCAGCAAAAATCGCCGTTTTAGAAGCCAAATGTAGCGTTGACGTGAATCGTGTAGATCCAGAGAGTTTTTTTCTTTCTTTAAGGGGGGAGGGGGTCTTATGTTTGGTTTCAGTCACTCTTTTGGAAATCAATCAGAGAAAGGAGAGGGGATTCCTGTTCACAAACAATCTTTGTTCCAGTGTGTTAGTCACATGTCATTTGACCAATCACAGTCAGAGACAGCACGCTGCAGACGATGAGGCAGAGCGGCACTCGGAGTGAGTGTGAGTGCTGTCGCTACAACGTCTCGCGGCGGTTTTGACCTTAAAGTTCATCAACCAGAACAAAATCACCACTAAATAAGAGTTTTCAGTCAGGGACTTTAGCAGATTTACCTTTATAGATTTTTCCCGAGGCTGGGCGTGTTTTTTTGTTTTGTTTTGGAGTTGAGTTCAGAGTAAACACCACCAGTAATATTACTAACATAAGTACTATTTCTGGTAAGAAACGGCCACCAGTATGCTACAGCCTCACTCGTTTAAAACAAACTCCAGTAAATGGATCTGGGCACCAGAAGATTTAAGGACGCTGGAGGAGAAACACGTGATGAGATAATTTCATAATCTAACATTTCTGCTGCATTAAAGAGTCAGATCAGCAATTTGTCATTAGCAGTGGTTTATTAAAGTATTCAAGCTAATATCTGAGATAAAGCTGCGTCTCTTTCTAAACATTTCATCACAACAAACTCATCATTATTACATCACTACTACGCAGCTGCTTATGCATCCAGCGAAACGGCCGGGTCAGTCCCGTTTAGTTTGACAGAATATTTCAGAATGAGTAGATTGCTCAGTGGCGTTATTATCTCTTGAACAGAATACCTAAGGCGCTCTCTGATAAGGTGTTCACCGACTTGAAGGCAAAACAAGGAGCTGGTAAACAAGCACAGAAGCGAGGGAGTCCATCAGCAGGTTCGTCCATTTCTGGTTATGAGATTTGATGTGGAGGAAAGCTTCTGTCAGTTGAGTTTATTCATGTGTCTTCAAATCTAGATGTAAACCAGAAGAGCAAGAAGAGAAAAGCTAAGGATGAAGAGTCCACGGAGGCTCCCAGACTTACATCTAAACAGGTTTGTCTGCCTGAGTTGGACTATAAACGTCTTCTGATTATTTAATGCTGAAAAGCTTGTCTTTGTTTTTTTTTTTTTCTCCACAGAAAAGAGCGTTGGAGCGGGCGAACAGAGTGAAGAAAGTTGGCTCGCGTTACTATGAAACGCATAACGTTAAGAACAAGAATAAGAACAGAAAAATCCCAGCGACCGTCACAGAGGGTCAGAGGGCTAAAAGATCAAAGCACTAGGCTGAACTTACACACACAATTTTAAAATTAACCAAATACACACATTTTATTGATTTGACAAAACCAGAAAAGCTGAATATTGAATAGTTTTTGTCGGGTGCCTCAGCTTGACTCGATGTCTCGGTCATTTTGTTTCTTTCCAACCCAGAACTGTTTCCATCTTTCGCAAGTGCTTCACTTCCTTGATGTTCATGTTTGAAATATACTTCTTACAAAAATAAAATGAAATGTGGGCAGAAGCTTGTATTGATGATGAAATGGGTGGGGGGGTGGGGGGTAGCTTTTTTTATAGGAGCTGGTAAAACAGACACGATGCCTCCAGTTTTCACTTTGGTGTCAGTAGACTTTCCAGCAGCGCCTAAAAAAGACAAAAACAAAATAAATTTTAAATTATCCACCAAACAGTGAATGGTTCCATCTCCCGGTCTGTCTTTAAACAGCATTACCTGGTATTGTTGATGGATCTCCTTCAAACACTGGATCTCTTCACTGAGGTTCTGTTGTTCCACTCGTGTCTCATCAGCCTGTCTCTGTTTATTTTCATCATTATGAGCTTTTTCTTTGTTAAGTAGCTTTCTCCGGGTCTCGATCTCCTCCTCCAGCTCTGAAATCTGTGGTTGTGATTTTAACAAAAGCAGTTGTAAGGCACAAGTCTCTTTCGTAAACTAAATAAATTGCACTCTTTGCTGGATGAAAAACCAAAGTGCAGCTTAACTGTTTCCTAAACTTTAGTGAATCAATGAACAGCCATTTTAAAAACGTGGCTTGTCCTCGTGCGTAATAACGGTACGTCCTTACTCTTTGTTCCATATCGTTTTCTTCATCCTCAGCCTGCAGAGCCTTCCTTATCCCAAAAGCAAGGCCGTCCTCGTACTGCACCTTGTAGATGGCAATAATCCTATTCATCTCATATCTAACTTCTGCCAGCAGCAGAGCCCTCGCAGCACAGTTGTTGTCTACCTGTCTGATGACTTCATCTTAAAAAATGGAGAAAAGGGCAGTAGAGTTAAGATGATAACCATTCAACTCCAGCTGTGATCTATGCTTCTCCTTACCAAAACACTGAGAATAAAGCTCTCTGCGAAGAGGACAGATTCCCGTGGGTTTGGCTTGTCTTTGCTGCAGCTTTGTGTCCAGAAGTTTCACCAGCTGCTGAACATCTGCCCTGCCAGAGGGAGCCCTGGATACCTGCTGCACCCACAGCTGATTCCCATTGTCCCATTTCCTGCATTGTGAGAGGTTAGGCAGCCTGAAGTAGTGGTTCCCAATCTGGGGTCCACAACCCCCAAGGGGGGTCACAAGAAATTGCAGGGGGAACCCCCAAAATGTTAGCCTAGTCAACTAGACCAAATTCTTGCTTTGCAAAGAAGTCCGCTCCGACAGCTTCTGGCGTTTTTAAAAAGTATCCCAGGGGCACGGTAAGGGTCGGAGATGTTTAGTCTATTTAATTTCTGACTATATAAAACGATTTCTTCTGTTTTAAAGTGTGAAGTAAACTCCGACGAAGTAAAATCCAAGCGGATCCCGTTCATGTTCATGGTTACATCTGTGTTTGTTTACCTTTTTTGCATGCCAAAATGGCGTCCACTAACTGAGAGTCACGTGGGGTCCGGAGCTCTATTGGAACCTCAGCAGCTCCTACTAGGACTCTGGCTAGCCAATCACAGCTCTCTAGAGGGGGTTCAAACACATAAAGAGCTGTGATTGGTCCATAATGGTGGGCCAATCATAGTGCTCTATCTGCTTAGTGAACAAATCACAGAGCTTTATCCGCTTTGTGGGCCAATCAGGGCACTCTATATGCCTGATGGGTGGGATGATGCAACAGAGTGAAACAAGAGTATATCACATTCATTGTCCAGTGGAATGCGGAGATCATTTGAAAGACAACTGTAGAACCCGCCCCACAACCGAGAGCCGTCAATGGAGCATGGCCAGACAAAATAATACATTTATTTAGTCTGGCTTGCCAGGCTACCAAAATGTGGCTATTACCAAGATTTGTAAACACTACACTTGCAAAATCCCGACATTGTACCCAGTATCAATCAGAACTCCGTATAAAGTTTGTAATCAATGTGGGCGGCTCTCGAGGAACCACCCCGTTAGAGGAAGTCTGTACCTTGGTGGAAAGGTGATCAGGATGCCGTTTTCCTGCTTGGCCTGGAATGAGGTGGATGTTGATCTGGGTGGTGGTGGAGTTGGAGCAGAGTCAATAGACTGCTGAGGGCTCAGTCTTAAATGGCGACCCTGGTATGACATGTGCTTTATATTAAACATTCAAATGTGAAAAACTTTATTAGACATAAACTTTTAGTTTGCATTTATTTAACAGAGGAGGGTAAACAGGGCTGCCAACACACGCATTTGACCCTCTTCACATGCACTCACACTTCACCTCCAAGCTCTCACGCTAAACTAGCGCCTGTGCTCCCCAAACGCCAGGGCCGGATTATCATTGCAGGGGCCCCTGGGCACAATGTGCTTAGGGCCACCCAACCCACCCGGCCTCCCCCAACATTAGTGTTACCCAGAAGCACTTTTTAGACATTTCATAACATTGTCAAAATTAAAAATCGCTTACTTATGTTGATACAAAAGCATTTACCTCCAGGTCAAAATAGTTATATAACCTAATCACTAATGGGCTCGACACACGGGAGGCGACAAACGACCGCGATCAGTGAAATTTGTCGCTGTCGCTTTTATGACCTGTCACACGGGAGGCGATCTGCGGCCAGCGGCAAAGCCGTCTACGCGTTCTGTTCCATGGCGAAATCGAAACTTCCGTTGTTTTGTTTGGCTGTGCCAGGTTGGAGGTAATTAAGGTTATTTAAGCAGTTCAGAGTTAATAAAGCGGTAGATATGATGTTTCACAAGTTGTTGCTAGAGTTATGTGAAATCTTACTTGTGATTTTACTATAAAACATAATAATAATCAACTTCTCCTTCATGTTTGCTCGGAGGTGTATAGAGCATCCTGTCCGCTCATTGGTCAGTGAATGAAACCTCCGTTGATTGGTCCTCGTCTCAGCGACAGCGATGAAAAGTTGAAAATGTTTCAACTTTCTGGGATCGCGTCGCTGGGTCGTCCGTGCACGACACGTGCACGAGTGCAAAATTTCACACGCACGTTTTTCGCGTTTCGCTTAGTAGGAGAGAGACCCCCGATTATCGCTTTGTCGTGCATGTCTCATTGAAAATGAATGGAGGAGAGGTGATGTCGCCTCCCGTGTGTCGAGCCCTTAACACTCATGCCTGATGATTTTCCTGTTGTGCCTCACTCATGTGTCTTTCTTCCTCTGTCCTCTCTCTTTTCTCCTCTTTTTCTGTCTCTCTTCCTCACAGCACTCCTGTCTTCTCTTCTGTCTGTACTAACAAAAATGTTGTCAATCTGTGGGACAGTGGGGGCGAGTGAGACTGCTGCACACACACAAAAAAAAGACTGCTGCTTGCGTGGGCCCCCTTGTGGCTGTGGGCCCCTGGGCCTGTGCCCAGTTTGCCCATATTATAATCCGGCCTTGCCAAAAGCGCATCACGCACAGTGTGTGGGGTTTATGAAAAAAGCCAGATTATATTAATTATAGCATTAGCTACTGAACAACAAGCACACAAACAACACTTAAGTAATAATTTAACTGGCGTTATTTCCCATCTGTATAATTTAAGCCGATGTGCTTTTTTCCGCTCTGGTTTGTGAGATGGGCAGCAGTTGTTGTTTTTTCCCTTGTCAGTGGCTCTATTCCCTTTTCCGTACAGAGTAGAAATAAATAAATAAAATGTAGGGCACAAAAAGTCTGGATCTCTTTGCTCTGTGTTTCTTCCAACAACTTCCGTTAATGGTACCCCTTCAATCCACACCTTTAGGGTTTGTCCGACTTACTTTGGTTGAGCTTGAGGCTGTCCTCTTAACCAAAACGGGATCGTCGTATTTCAAGAGAGAATCGTCTAATTCAATCATCCTGACGCCTTTATGTACAGAAATAGCTGTTTATGTTGTCATGGTAACGTTCGGGCGTTTGCCGGAAAACAGAAAAAAAAGATCTAAGCGCAATTAAAAAAAGAAAAATAGCTCCAATCCACTTGGAGTTGAATTTAGGGCTTCATAAAAATATCTGTAGTTTTCATGATTTAATCCGTGTTATCTTTAAACGGAACGGAAGTCATCATAGCGGAACGTTTAGTTGAAAGCACATATACCACGTCGGAAGAAATTGTCAGCGCGCCAAACGGAAACGGAACGCAACTTTAGCAACCGTTTGGTGGGTTTTGCGTTTGTTTGCTTCTGTGGCTAACTATGCTTGCGTAGCCACAAAAAGTTGACGGATTTTGTTCAAAAATGGCCAAAGAGAAGCGACACAAGAGAAGAGATTCTCCCACGCGAGAGCCGGAAGTGAAAGTAAAACAGGAGAAATTGAGTCCGAGTAGGCCGCAGAAATCACGCCGCTCGAGGTCGAGATCCACAGACAACTCCAGTCCACAGAGGAGAAGAACCAGCAGGTAAACACGCGTTTGTCGCCCTTTGAGCACCACCAAGGTGATAATATTCAGATCTGATGTTCTTTATTTTCTAATAACTGAATTTAAATGTGACTTAAGTTGACACATCTTCAAAGGAAATGCTTTTTAGAAAAAAAAAGTTCAGATAATTTACGTTATTTCTTTATATCACAGTAAGTAGATTGTTATTAACACGTGTATTTACAACTATATCACGTTCAGCTTCAAGTGCCTATAGTACGTCAGTTAGATTATTAACCAAGCTCCTGTCTTACTCGAATGAGTACAAATCAAGAAACAATCAAAAGCATCTAAATATATAGTTTATATAGCTACATTTATTTAAATTTCTTATAATGTGTAGTAATATTCTAAAATCCAATGGCAATTAGCTAAAACATGCGTTTTAGCTAATCAAAACTTTATTAATTGGTATCAAAAACTAACATCTTAGATCCTCTACACACATTTTGGATATTTAATGCAAAGTCAAAGTATTGATTAATCTTGTTTAATTCCCACACACCTGATCTCTTACAATCTCTAACACTGAAAGATGACTTTATTACTATTTTAGTTTGTAAATGCTGCCTAACTGATACGAGTGGCTTAAGAGTGTTTTCTCTTTTGTGCTCCTCACACAGGTCACCCGTGAGGACAAGAGACCGCTCACCAGGCAGAAGGGAGACCTCTCCTGTTAGACGAAACAGCAGATCTCCCAGAAACAAGAGAAATCACAGCCCTCATTGTAGCAGTGACTCTAGAATAAAGAGGGTGATTATAAAATTCTAAACTGAAACTGACTTGTCTCAACTTGTAGTCATGAAGGTTTTGTGTTTTTGTTTTAGGAGCGTGATGAGCATAGATCTAGCGGCGATGAGCGGAGGAGGAGGAACGAGCAGCCAGATGAAAGACGAAGCAGGTGGGAACATAACAGGTCCGGGGACCGGGATGGAGAGAGGCATCGTGAGCGAAACTCCCAAGTGACTCAGCAAGCTGAGCGGCGGCAGCACGATGAGCGGCGTAGGGAAAATCGGCGGCGGCGTGAAGAAAATCAAGAACAGGAGTTTGGACAAGCTGAGGGAGACGGCAGCGACTCGGGGGCGCCGCCTGCTGATAAAGAGAAGCCCAACTTTGAATTGTCAGGGGCTCTCACAGAGGACACCAACACGTTCCGTGGGGTGGTGATCAAGTACAACGAGCCACAGGAAGCTCGAATTCCAAAGCGCAGGTGGCGATTGTACCCTTTCAAGAATGATGAACCCCTTCCTGTCATGTACATTCACAGACAGAGTGCCTATTTGTTGGGGCGGCAAAGAAAGATCGCTGATATCCCCATCGACCACCCGTCCTGCTCCAAGCAACATGCAGTATTCCAATACAGGTATGTTGTATGTAAATGTTTTCACTGTGTGATTAATTAGATTTGTGGGGAAAATATACAACTAAGGATTCTGTTTATTCTGCAGGTTAGTGGAGTACACTCGAAAAGACGGCACCACTGGCCGCAGGGTAAGGCCTTATATCATCGACCTCGCTTCTGGCAACGGTACCTACCTGAACAACCAGCGGATCGAGTCTCAGCGCTACTACGAGCTCAAAGAAAAAGACGTTCTCAAGTTTGGCTTTAGCAGCCGCGAATACGTCCTATTGCACGAATTCTCCGACACGAGCGAGGTTGATGCAAAGCAGGAAGAAGAAGAAGACGAGGGTCTTGATGAGTAAATTACTCCCAATGTGTTTGTGCCTAAATTCATTTATGATGGATAAGACCAATGAGAATGTTAGAAAGTGGAGCGATGTATCTTGTGCGTGGGAATTCACACCACGTGGTTGGATTGTTATGTATATTGTGTAAATATTGAACTCTTGCTTAAACCTGCCACACCTGTCTCCAAGTAGACCTTTCTCAGGATTAATGCATGGCTGATCTCATGTGTTATGTCAGGGTACATCATTGGAAAACCAACCTTATGTTTAGGAAAGCATTTCTTATTGACATAATGAACATAAATACACAGAATATAATAATTGTATTTTTATTTTTTGCTTTTTTTTTTGTAGTGGAGGGGAAATACTTGATGCTATGTGTTTCTGCATCATTTATACAAAAACTTCCCTGTTTGATTTTGTCAGTTCAGGTGTATTGATAGTAAGAGTTCATTTTTCTACTGTAAATTAAAATATAGATTATTAAAAAAAATCTCTGTGATTATTATTAAAGAGCAAGTAACGCCTAAATTAACTATTTTTTTTGTGCTGATAACTTGCACAGATGAGTGTCTAATGGGGCTGTACACACGTGTAATCATTAATGTGGCAGTTTAGTAGCCTGGCAAGCCAGACTAAATAAATGTATTATTTAGTCTGGCCACGCTCCATTGACGGCTCTCGGTTGTGGGGCTGGTTCTACCGTTGTCTTTCAAATGATCTCCGCATTCCACTGGACAATGAATGTGACATACTCTTGTTTCACTGTTGCATCATCCCACCCACCAGGCAGATAGAGTGCCCTGATTGGCCCACAAAGCGGATAAAGCTCTGTGATTTGTTCACTAAGCAGATAGAGCACTATGATTGGCCCACCATTATGGACCAATCACAGCTCTTTATGTGTTTGAACCCCCTCTAGAGAGCTGTGATTGGCTAGCCAGAGTCCTAGTGGGAGCTGCAGAGGTTCCAATGGAGCGTGCCTAGACCAAACTTTGCAAAGCAAGAATTTGGTCTAGTTCACTAGGTTAGCAGTTTAGTGCATCTTACTTAAAATTTGATATTTCAGCCCAAAACCATAATTATATCTCCATCTTTAGGTTAAAACCTCTGCTCCACATTTATGTAGAACCAGCTGTGGCTGATGGCTAAGCTGAAAAACGTGACGTTCTCAGCAAAGTGCTACGTGGCTGCACCACACTGGTCTCCAGGTGAGGCAGCTGCACCTCCACCTGGCTCAGCCACTCCTCTGCTGATTTGACACGTTTTAGCGCTCTGAGCCGCTCGCCTCCTTGAAAAAAATTCCCTCCTCCCTTTTTCATCTAATCAGGGGCGCCGTAAAGCGGTGAAAGATTAGGAAGATTCTAAGGGCCCACAGCTGTTGGGCCCAAAAAGTTTCATAGTTGAATAAAAAATAAAGTTTAAAAACCACAAGTACTTTACTTTGCAGTATTTTTTCTCATTTAAGACATGAAGCAAACAATCTTTTAGTCTTTATGAAATGTATAAAAGGCAACAAACAGGAGTCCAAGGACTGATCCATGCAGAACACCACTTGTAAAATAGGGGAAATAAAACTTTTTGTTAGAGAAGGAAGAGAATAATAAAACTCCCTCCTTCGTTTTTATAGAACATTTACACTTACTTTCTATCAATTTTTGCAAAATTTAAGTTATTTTTGTATTTTGGGGGTTTCCACATAATCCCAATTTTTGCCTAATTTTTATTTATTTATTTTAATTATAAACGGTTTTTAAGGCTGTTTCTGGAAAATAAGGTGCTTTTAACCCCAAATTTGGAGTTTTCCATCGCTCTCGGTTAGTCAGAGTCTAAAACAGGCTATTTTTTACAACTTTGGGGATTTTTTTTTTACATAATGCGTTGGAACAAGTGACGTCAGCGTGAGGGAGAGGGGACGAGGGCGGGTCGAGGGGAGTTCTGGTTGGGAGTTTTATGGAGGTGTGGAATGAGCGGAGGCGGTGCCGCACCTAGCGACCAGAGCTACCGTGGTGCCTTCTTTATCTAACCAAACTCCTAAATGGGGCTCATGTGTTGAATCTTCACAGAATTCAATAAAAAATAATAAAATGTACACCACGGAGCGTAGGCGCGTGAGCCTGCGCCAGTCGAAGAGGAGGGATCCCATCCGGGTGTCCGCTGGAAGTTTTTGGCAGGACGCGCTGGCGCTGGAGCTCAGCGCCTGCAACGGCTCCGGTAAACAACTCGTCTCTCCACGCAGTCGGACCGTGGCTTACATCGTCAACGAAGACGCGTCGGTGCCGCAGACGGAGGAGAACTTGTCGCTGAAATGTTTAAAGGAAGCCTGCGCGGACGCGCACGCGACTCTAAAGACCATTTCATTCGATAAGATATCAGTAGGAACCACAGACATCCTGGATTGCTTCTATAACGCAGGCAAGTGCGGGCACGCCGGCCGGCTGGAGGCAACTTTAGGAGTTATCTGGAACTTCTCATTGTTTACTGTGTGTGCAGATGTCGCAGTGGTGGAGATGAGTGACTCCTTCTGCCAGCCGTCCCTCTTCTACCACCTGGCAGTGAGAGAGGGCTTCAGCAGCATGACGAACAACATCATCCTGTATGGGTTCAAGCCAGAGAGTGACCTGCAGGCTGTCAAGGTAAACGCCATCTGATGGATGGATCACTGACTGGGTGGAGTTCAGACTTTAAGATGCACATGAAGGATCTGACTAAATGATGTAAAATAGTACAAAATGCACATAACTGCTGTCACCACTACATTTATTTTGAGAGATTTAAGGGGACATGACTTTTCAAGTTATTATATGGTCGGTACAAACATGTTTATTAAGTTCTTTGCACAAAATCACCCCAATAAAGGTGGATTTCAGCTAGCCTGGAAATCTAGACGGACTGTAGCAGCAAAATGATTTTGCTCCGCAGGTGGGTCTAGCCATGCTAGCCAGACTGAGATTTTCCAGGCACATCCAACCGGGAGGAGACCTATAGGAAGACCCAGGACATGCTGGAGGGACTACGTCTCTCAGCTGGCCGGGAAACACCTTGGGATTCCCCTGGAGGAACTGCCCAAGCGCCTGGGGAGAGGGAAGTCTGGGCCTCCCTGCTTAGGCCGCTGACCCCGCAGATCAAGAACACTCTCCAGGAGGCAGGCGTATCTGTGTCAAAGTCAACAATCAAGAGAAGACTCCACCAGTGTGAATACAGAGGGTTCACCACAAGATGTAAACCATTGGTGAGCCCCAAAAACAGGAAGGCCAGATTAGAGTTTGCCAAACAACATCTAAAAAAGCCTTCACAGTTCTGGAACAACACCCTATGGACAGATAAGACCAAGATCAACTTGTGCCAGAGTGATGGGAAGAGAAGAGTCTGGAGACGGAGAGGAACTGCTCATGATCCTAACCATACCACCTCATCAGTGAAGCATGGTGCTGGAAGTGTCATGGCGTGGGCATGTATGGCTGCCAGTGGATCTGGTTCTCTTGTATTTATTGATGATGTGACTGCTGACAAAAGCAGCACGATGAATTCTGACGTGTTTCAGGCAATATAATATGCTCATATTCAGCCAAATGCCTCAGAAAACACCCTTCACAACAGTTTGCTTGGACTCATTGGACGGCGCTTCACAGTGCAGATGGACAATGACCCAAAGCATACTGTAAAAGCAACCAAAGAGTTTTTGAAGGGAAAGAAGTGGACTGTTTTGCAATGGCCAAGTCAATCACCTGACCTGAATCCGATTGAGCGTGCATTTTACTTGCTGAAGACAAAACTGAAGGGAAAATGCTCCAGGAACAAGCAGGAAATGAAGACTGTTGCAGTAGAGGCCTGGCAGAGCATCACCAGGGATGAAACCCAACATCTGGTGATGTCTATGTGTTCCAGACTTCAGGCTGTCATTGACTGCAAAGGATTTGCAACCAAGTATTGAAATGTATAAGTTTGATTTATGGTTCTTATTCTGTCCCATTACTTTTGGTCCCTTAACAAGTGGGAGGCACAAATGCAAACTGTTGTAATTCCTACACCGTTCACCTGATTTGGATTTAAATACCCTCAAATAAAAGCCGACAGTCTGCAGTTAAAGCACATCTTGTTCGTTTCATTTGATATCCATTGTGGTGGTGTATAGAGCCAAAAATGTTAGCATTGTGTCGATGTCCCAATATTTATGGACCTGACAGTAAATTCACTAATATAGGATGGCTTGCCAGCTATTTTTCAGCAGCTTAATTCCTGAAGTGTTCAGTGCCTTCCAGGATGAGATGAGACGTTGTAGGTACCAGATGAGATCAGGGTGCCAGATTAGCTCAAGGACCCGAGTCTGCCGATTACTGTGTGATCGGCTAGAGATTTTTAGACCAGAGGTACTCAAATGCAAGTGGCGGATGGCCACATAAAAACTTTCTATTGGATGGAGTGCCGCTGACTGAAGGGCACCAATCGTTTTGTCCACATTTTTATATTTTGGCAAGTTATTAAGTGAGAAAAATGTTAGAAAGATGCACTACGTTAGCAAAACCAAAGGTTTTTAATTAATGCTGACAACACGCCATAGAAAAACACTTCTTACACAGCAGAAATGCATGCATGGAATGTAAAAAGGAATGTAAAAAGGAAATGGAAATAAACGAGCTTGTGGGGTTAAAAGGGAAAGACAAAATTTTTACAGAAGTAAAAATAGATGCGTAATTAACATATATTGTTTGGTTCAAAATTGTTGTAAAAGGTTAAATTAACAGAGAAAATAGAAATACTAAATAAAATATTCATTAATTACTAATTTTAGAATATACAGTTTTTAAAGCATTTATTATTTTTCATATGTGTTAATTGAATGCATCAGCTTAAATTCCTAATAAATAAACTTTAAAACGACCCAAAATTTTATTTAATTTGGGTATTTAAACTGTATGTCCCATACAGAATATTACAGTACACGTCTCACATAAACATGTTTGTAAAAATTGGAACCATGGTGTAATCCAGACATTATTCTATGCTTTACAGCCTCACAGGTATGCTCTGGTGCTTTAGGGCCAGTAAACGCGCCACAGATCCATTACAGCCCTGCATGTGTTGTTTTCCTCCAGGAGCAATGTGGGAGTTACACCTTCATCCCTTACTTGGTGTCACCTCACGGCAAAGTGTTTGCTTGTGATGCCACCATGATGTCTGGGATCCAAGAGCTGATGCAGCCCAGCATCCAGCTGGAGCCCATTCTCACCCCGCTGGTGGAGAGACTGGTGCATCTGCTGAGCAGTGTCCACGTTCAGTCCAGGTGAGCCTCGCGTTGACGCCATCATCATTGTGTCTTTCGTGTTCAAACCCACGTCGTCTAAAGTTCAGGTTTCACTCGGCTGCTTTTGTCTGACAGCGAGTATTTTCGGGAGACAGTCAGGCATGAGATCCGTTTGGCACGGGAGCGGTTCAGTGGAGACGCACTGAGAGAGGAGCTGGGCCGCATCCAGGAACGCCTGGATAGCGTGGACCTGCTCACACCTGATATAGTCATGAACCTGCTCTTGTCCTACAGGGACGTTCAGGTGCGTGTTTATGTTTTTACATCATTTTGTAACGTGTGAGCAAATTAATTTTAGCAATGATACTTTGATTTTAATTACCGTAAATCCTCTAATACAGTCCCGGGCCTGTATTTGACTCGAGCTCATCAAGCTCCAGGCCTTTATTGGAAGGAGGACCAGAATTTGAGGCAGGCCTCTATTTCTATTTGAGCAAAATGAACAAATGGTTCGCTGGAGTTTTTGACAATTAAAATTGCGCCCACATTTTCAAAGTTAAACACATTTCTTTTAACAACGGTAGTTTCTGCTTCAACCCTCTCCCCCCTCCCCCTGCTTCAGCCCTCTCCCCCCTCCCCCTGCTTCAGCCATCCCCCCCCTCCCCCTGCTTCAGCCCTCTCTCCCCTCCCCCTGCGCAGCGGCCGCAAACTCACTGATGCGCCTGCAGCCTCTTGGAGTTCCTGCTGCTCTAAACATTAAAATAATTATTTCATTTTCTGTTCCTCACTTCTGATTACCTTCATTGGTGTCTGTTTGTTGCAACCAGCAGGTACAAAAACTAACTTGTTTTTATTTGACTATTTTTCTGTCCTGTCTCTGTTTATTATCTTCCTGCATCTCCTCTCAATCCTAAAGAGAAACTGCTACATGGGTTCATATATATTCACCTTATGAGTTACCTTTGAACTGCAGTTCTAAAAGATCTACCGACCGCAAAAACAGCGGAGTGCTCCCTGCTTGGCGGCCGCATCAGTGATCGGTGCGTCACCGGAGGACATGGTGATGTGCCCCGCTCCACAGCGAAACGCATCAGGTGCAAATAAAAGACAGAAAACATTAAAGGAAATGAGCCGACATGAACGAACGCGTGTCAGTACTGACGCTCTGGCACAGCGCGTTGCCCCCCCGACGCGCAGGAGCTTTTCACCTGCTGACAGCAGGCTGCTGTCTTTTCCGAGGGCTGCATCTTGCCGGTCATTATCATGTGACAGCGACTAATTGATGACAGGCATAAAAAGGCACTGAAGTCGACTAGTTCATACAACCCCTGCTACTGCTCCCCAGTGTTCTGCAGCGCACGTTCTCTTTGAACTTGATATCAAATTTTCGCCTCCTCTTCGTCTCCGCACGGTTAAAGTTACCCTCGCGGTCTATCACTGGCAAATCAAAAGTGAGACGGATGACACAACCGCCCCCGTACTTGCTTGTTACCACATTTCACCCGGCCACAATAAGAAACCGGCCATTATTCACCTCCGCCGACTCCGACACCGGCCAAAATATGATACCCGGCCATTAATTGAATACAGGCCTGTATTAGAGGATTTACGGTAGTTCACAATAAAGTATGATAAATCTGACCTCAACTACGTGATTCAGTTCATGTGGTTGTCTTTTTCAGGACTACGACGCCATGATCAAACTGGTGGAAAATCTGAATAAGCTGCAGATGTGTCAGGTGGCAAAGCATCAGAATATCAAGTTTCACTACATATTTGCTTTGAACAGGTACCGGTGCTCCTGCTGCTATGTCCACTGTACGTTCAACATGGGGTCGTGTGCTTTGTACCGTTAATTTGCATTGATTGCAGAGTACAAAGGGCGTTTGTAGACGTTTCATGTACTTAATGATCTCATTGTTCCACATCAGGAGAAATCACGGCGAAGATCGTGACAAGGCTTTGAAAGAGATTCTTCCGATTGTCCAGTCAGGAGAGAAAGTGGCGTCAGACTTCTACTGCCTGTGTGGACGGATCTTCAAAGATTTGTTTATGAGCTCGAAGTTCTCCGACACACTCAGCAGAGAGCAGTCCTGCTATTGGTACAAGCAGTGTTGTAAACAAACCAAATGAAATGTGCTTTTTTGGGTCGTTCTACCACACAACATTCAAATCTGAATTTCAGAGGTGGTCATTTACGCCTAAATTGTCAAGAGTGAAATTTCTTTTCTTTTTTTTTCTTTTAGGTATGGAAAAGCTTTTGAGGCAGAGCCGACTCTCCACTCGGGCATCAACGTCATGGTCCTCCTGATGGCAGCTGGGCATGACTTTGAGACTTCTATTGAGATGCGCAAAATAGGTGCAAGAAACAAAATCCTAAAAAAGAAAAATGCTCAATTCCGATTTTTTGAGTAAATCTGATTTTTTTTGTGTGTGTGTGTGGCTGTTCACACTATGATTGAAATGCGACATCAAACTCTCCAGTGTGAACGCTTCACGGCACAAAAGCGGCATGTGCAGAAGCGGATTTGATGCTCTTTTGCCTGCAGTGTGAAGGTAGCCTTAGACCAGCTCAAGTCTAAATCATCCAAATGTGATGCCAAAGCTGTTTCAAACGAGTGCCGCTCCCGAGTCAACGCCATCTTGTCGTTTTTCTTGGTGCTAAGCCCACCCAACAAATGTAGATCATTGTGATTGGCAGAGGTGTGGACTCGAGTCACACAACTTGGACTTGAGTCAATCAATCAATCAATCAATCAATCAATCAATCAATCAATGCTTTATTTATAAAGCGCCTTCCGCAACCCTGCCGGGAAGCCCAAGGCGCTGACTTGAGTCATTATTTTAATGACTTCTGACTTGACTTGATAAAATCTACAAAAACTTACGACTTGACTCGGACTTGAACGCCATTGACTTGCGACTTGAATTGACATGCATCTGTGGACATGATGATGACTTGAGCATATTTGATATTTTAGCACAAAAGTGGCACAACATGGACAAAAATCATAAGTCATTCTTGGTTCTGGGTTTGATTTACTGCTGAATGCAGCAGCTCTTTGTTTGGAATAAACTTCAGTTGCACTTTCTGCTTGTTTGAGCAAATAAATGAAGCTATAAGAAGCTTTATTTCTGGAATTTATTTATAATCATTGTCATTAAATTGAAGTTTGACAGATGGATTGATTATGACTTGAAAATTCGAAGTTAAGGACTTGGACTTTACTTAGACTTCCACTTCATTGACTATGGACTCGACTTGGACTTGTTTGACTTGGACTTGACTCGAGACTTGACTGGAAAGACTTGTGACTTACTTGTGAGTTGCAAAGCAGTAACTTGGTCACACCTCTGGTGATTGGCCCAACTTAAACTTAGCTAAGCCAATGATAGACCTGCTGAGGCTGCAGTAGAGCTTGGCTAGATGTATCTGTAGAGCAAATTCTTTTTACTCTTGCTACTGTTGGTCTAGATTCCTAGGCTAACATATCATACATCTATCTCAACAAATTCAAGAGTTTAGAAAAAATGCCGGAATAACATCTAAACCACTGCTGTCCTTGCTTGGTTAAAGTTATTTTCAGAGGTGATGAATCAGCAGGTTGAAAGAGACTGGGGCAAAAATGGCATCGCAGCAACGTTCTAAGAGGGAAACAAAGTTCTGACTCATGTTTGCAAAAAAATACATCCTGGTGGTCATGAAGGTCATGAAGTGTCCTCCATCCCATCCATCCATTATTGTTCGCTTATCTGGGGTCACACTCTGCTCCTAACTGCTGCTCCTAGAAATCCAGTCCATAAAAGTGAACAGAATCGGTCACAAAGAGCAGCCTTGGCAGAGTCCAACTCCCACCAGTACCCTACTCTAGTCTCTACTAGAAAATCCTGAAGGATAATTTCTGACCTTTGACCTTAATAAAGGTCATTCAAACTGAAAAACTTTCCAGTGTGTCTGAGACTTTTTATCAGTCATCATAAAAGCTTGACTACAGTTCTTCTAGTCAAGAATGTTTCAGCTAGTTTAGGGGTCAGATATGTTTCTATATGAATCCAGGTTGGTTATGTAAGTATACAAATACTCTTCAAACATTGTAGAATTTATGAGGATATTTAGAAAGCTATGCCAGAAAAGTACTCCCAAGTACTCGTTTTGCTTTAAAAAATTGTTCATGGTGGATGGGTACAACCTGGCATGGATTTTTCTCAAATGAAACTGACTTCTATCCATCAGAGATGAGTGTTCAGAAGTGTTTCTGCTCAGAACTCCTATAAACCAGCTCAGTGGCCTAGTGGTAGAGTGTCCGCCCTGAGACTGGGAGATCAGGGTTCAATTCCTGGTCGGGTCATACCAAATACTTTGAAAAAATGGGACACAATGCCTCCCTGCTCAACATTCAGCATTTAGAGGTTGGACTGGGGGGTTAAACCACCAAATGGTTCCAGTGCGTGGCTGTGTCTGCAGCTCACCGCTCCCCCAGGGGATGGGTCAAATGCGGAGAACAAATTTTGCACACACATCAGTGTGTGTGACAACTGATGGGACTTGAACTTTAACTTTAAACCTTCTTGTGCAATAAAGTTTGAGATTTTGCTTCTAAAAGAAGTGGCAGCTATTCTAAGCCCATGTTGGTGCACACATACAGTATTATGTTGGCATGAAGCTTGGGCACCACCATTCAATAAGGATATCTGGATTTGTCCTTCTGGCTCTGTGGCTGTGCACAGCGTCCTTATCTGTTCATCCAGTAATGAGATCTTCTCTTTGTGATTACGTTCATGTCTAGGTGTGACGATAAACACGCTGCTTGGTAGAAAGGGCAGTTTGGAGAAGATGAATGACTACTGGGATGTAGGTTTCTATTTCGGAGCAAACATCCTTTCCAACGATCACAGGAAAGTAATCGATGCCTCAGAGAAGCTCTACAGACTAAAAGCCCCAGTTTGGTGAGATTTGACACCTTTTTTTTGGTTCACCTTATGTGCACACATCTGCAGTTAGGATTTAGGTCTGCAGCAGATTTATTCTCCTCACCAGAATCTAGAAAATTAGAGATGATACGTTTATGGCTGTATGTGGTGAATTTCATTGTGTGTCCTGTAGGTATTTGGTGTCCATTATGGAGACGTTCATCTTGTACCGTCAGTTTGCGAAGCTGCCTGAAGTGAAATCTCCCAAACAGGAAACGATGGACTTCTGGACGGAGTTGCTGCTGCAGTCCTGTAAACCCACCGTCGTAAACGATCGCTGCCCTGTAAGTGAACACTGAGACATGTCTTTTTAATTAAAAGTGGTGTGCAAGATCTTTTTCTGGAGCATTTTTGCTTTAAATACTCATCGCATCCCACAAGCACGACATGTTCCTGTATTCTGGTGACACAGCTCAAGGGAGGGGCCTGAAGAAAGGGGGTTGGACCTTAGAATTGTGTATTTTCACAAAGTAGCTTGCTTGAATGTAGAGGTGGGTGATATTCCGAAATTTTACCAGTACCAAAATGTATTTCTACCAACGTAATTTTGCCTGTGCCAATATATTAGGCTTTTAAAAAAAGAAAGATGTGTGTAGATCGCCGATGTTCATGTTCCTTTGAAATGCCGCGCTACGAACTGTAACAAGAAGAGAGATTGAGGAAATGGAGGATGACTCAAAATGTTGAAGCGGGAACAGCGGGTAGCGGCCGGCAGAAGCCAGCAGCAGCGACCGAAACAAAAATGTTGCCAGACGGATGTTGAAAGATTTTTGTGGGAGCAGTCAAAACTACCGTCGTCGCCGCTACTTCCTCTGTACGGCAGAGGTGGGAAGTAACGAAGTACAAATACTTCGTTACTGTACTTGAGTAGTTTTTTTTAGGTATCTGTGTTTTACTTGAGTATTTTTTTTCTGACAACTTTTTACTTTTACTCCCTACATTTGAGCCCAAATATCTGTACTTTCTACTCTTTACATTTTCAAAATGGTCTCGTTACTTCGACATTTACCTCACGTACTGCACGTATTACATGTATGTTGATGACGTCTATACGTAACTGTCGGAACAAAACTGAGGGAAAATCAACGGTGTGGCGAGAAGGAGTCCAGTGGAAGCGCGGTTTGAGACTCAGAACAACACGTGTAGCTCTCTTCACGACAACACAGACACAGGTCGGTTCTTTCAATTTCCCTCTGGGATTAGTAAAGTATTTTTGAATTGAATTGAATTGAAACGGGCATTTATTACTTGGGCTCCTTGGCTTCACCATTACACCAATGCGCCATGAGAACTGATCACGAGTGAACAATACAAACCAATTAGCAACTTTACAGTACACATATTAAGTCCAAACACGAATAAAACATTTCTCAAATGACAAATACCTCGTTGGCTGCTTGTCCTGAGAAGAGGTCCTTAAGTCCTTGTGTTGCCCTTTCCTTTAGTAAACCTTTAGCTTAAAATCGCTTCATGAGAGACATCTGCTTCCTCACAGTCCATGAAAAAGTCTCGTGTACTCTCGTTAAGGGTATTCTCGCGAGACACTAGCTCTTACACCTTACACATGTACATTTCAAATAGACATTTCAACACAACTATATATTCATGAAATTATGTAACTTATTATAATCAGTCACCTACATCATTACATCTACACAGAACATTTTAACAGCATTTACAACACTAACTAACAACATGGATGACGACAGTGGCCTGAGAAATGCTGCAGGTTTGGATGAGCGATGCATTCATCATCCTTGGCCTTATTTCAAATTCAAAAATACTTTATTGATCCCAGAGGGAAATTGATTGCTGTAGTAGCTCAGAATAACAATAATAATCAAGTCATCAAAGAGTATATTACAATGGCTTTTGGCAGGAAGGATCTCCAGTAGCGGTCAGTGTTGCAGTGAAACTGAAGAAGCCTCTGACTGAAGACACTCTTCCGTTGTCGGACAGTCTTGTGAAGAGAATGCTCAGGGTTGTCCGTCATTTTCTTGGTTCTCTGGAGAATCCTTCTTTGCATTATGTCCTCCAGCGGTTCCGAAAGTGCCGAAACTCTGGCTGAGTCCTTGAAAGGGCTTGGAGTTCCTCCATCTTTTTGGCCAGTGATCTCACATTGCCCATTATGATTGATGGAAGAGATGGTTTGAATTTCCTCTTTCTCTGTCTCCGTTTTGCTCCCGCTCTGCATCCACGCTTCTTGCGTTTTAGCTCGTTTGGGATTTGTGGCTTCAGTTGAGGTATTATTTCAGCCTTTTCAATGTTTATCAGCTGCTCCCGATTGTAAACCAGCTCGTTGCCATGGTTACACATCATAACAAATGCTCAAAAAGTGAAAAAAGTTCAAAAATAGCAGTAAAAATCCTCCCAAGCTTCACAGCACCAGAAACAGAAAAGTCAAATGTCCAAAAATATAGTTTTTTTTTGAGAAACTAGAAGAAAAAATGTCCAAAAAAAAGGCAAAACTTACATATCGTCAACAGAGCTACTCCAACATGCAGCCGCCCAGAGCAGCGCAGTTCCGGAATGATTTAAAAGAACTCTTTAACGTTGTTGGCTCCAAGAACGATTCGTGGCGAGTGCGCTGTGTTTTGTGCCAGCCTAAAAACCACGAGCTTCTGGCGTTTAAGAATTCACCATCAAATCTGAAAAAAACACATACAGGTAAGTGTGATTTTATTTTTTTCAGCTACTGCTGAGCTTTTAGGGCCACAATGGAAACAAATGTTTTACAATTTTCTGTGTTACCCTGTATATTTAATGATTTTATGTCAAATTGTGTAATGGCACTTTCACGTTAAGAGTCTGCTCGACCCCCACAGCCAGGTTGTTATCACACAGCCATCTCAGGGACACGGAAGTGAACAAGCACTTGGTCTCCACCATAAAGGTGGCACGGAGAAATCTACACATGAGCGCCAAACATTAGCAAACGAACAAAAAAAAAACACTCGTGAGCTCGATCAGTTGGGACTAGTGGAATAAGACGGTTAAAACAATGGAGAACCTCGTAGTGATCAAACAACCGAGCCGATCCTAATGTGAAAGAGCCATTTTACTTTACAATTACATTATCTATGCAGGTAAAAAAAATCAATATATCAATTGAGTTAATTTAGCATGATTTGTAAGTGAGTTTATAACTTTGGTAATGCTAGGAACTTCAGAGTGAGCAAACATCTGCGGGGGTTGGAGTAATTATCACACAATATAAATGTTTTGGTCACAGCTGACCCTCTGCCCCACACTGAAAAATGTCTCGTTAGGCTTAGAGATCTGAACACACGTTTGTTTGGTGTGTGTGTGTGTGTGTGTGTGTGTGTGTGTGTGTGTGTGTGTGTGTGTGTGTGTGTGTGTGTGTGTGTGCGTTGTTGCATGTGTTTATGTGTGTGTGTGTGTCTCATGCTCTAAATATAACACATGTGGGCTGAGCTCTGCAATTGTAGTCATTTGTCAATTACCCCTTTAGAAAACCAGTTGAAGCGCATTGGGATTTTTTCTTCATCTTGTACTTTGTGGACCTAACTTTTTTGCTCTTCTCTTTGTGTAGAGGAAGCACGCAAAACACCTGGAAAGGTATAACGAGCTAACATCGCCCACTCTGAAGCAGAGATTGAACACCGATGACGGAGGCCCAAACAAACAACTAAAATTGTGTGAAACCAAGAGAGTCACAAAAAAGCGTGGATGATGCCATCATTAAAGCCGGGCGTACACTGAGCGACTTTTTCACTTTTTTGAGCCGATTTTCCACTCGTGCGAGAATCCACAAGATCGGGGCGAGTTTTGCGCTGAGCGTCGTGTAGTGTACAGGGGGTTATGAGAGGCGATTAACACCACGTGAGCAGCTACCGATCAGCAGTCGTGAGCTCGCACGGACTTCTGGAGTGTTTGATATTTTGCTCGTTCCTCGTGAGGGTATCGCACTGTTGAAGCAGGGCTGCGACCCAAAAAGTACCAGAACCGCTCACGGCGCATGCGCAATCATGCATCAACACCGCTCGCCCGCTATTTCCCTAATAACACACGTTGTTCGTATTATTTCTAAACATTTTTTTACACACAATGACAAAGATTGTCAAGAAAGCCTGTTTGTCGTGTTCATGTCAAATTAAACTGATCACAAAACACAGATTTACTTTCTTTATTTCGTTTTCCTCATCCAACCCCCATAAATCCCTGTGTGTCCTCCTGCAGCACTCCCGTAGGACAACAGGCAAAACAAGACAAAAAAGTCTGACGTGTTGAGTAAAAACTGCTATTTTTAGCATATTTTTAGGTCCGACGTGTGGCTACCAGACGTACAGTGTGAGCAGTCAGGTCGCATCCGAGAACCGGGTCGTACAGTGTGAGCGCATGACTCGTGAGATCTGCCCTGCGAGGAAGTCGTACAGTTTGAGCTGAAGCTGAGTGCTACGAGTGAAAAAGTTGCACAGTGTACGCCCGGCTTAACTTTGTTGTGCAAGGTCTGCACCCGCTCAGTGTTGTCAAACAGGAGGGTTTTAAAACTCTTATGCATCACCTACAACCAGATGTCATGTAATGTCTCGAGGCACCATAAAGAACAAAGTTGAGAAAGTAACACTGGAAATGAAGAAAAATCTAAAGGCTGCTATGAATGTGGTCGAGTACATTGCTCCCACCGCAGACTGCTGGACTGCACACAGACGAAGTTTCACAGCACACTGGATAGAGCCTGGAACCATGGAAAGATGCTCTGCTGCACTAGCATGCAAACAGCTCAAAGGGCCGCACACATTTTCTGCACTTGCTGGTGCACTAAACGACATACATACAGAATATAAAATCCATGATGAGATTGTTCGCACAACTTCTGATAATGGCTCTAATTTTATTAACGCTTTTCCAGTCTATGGAGAGCTGGATGCAAAGAATGGTGAACCTTTTGAAGGGGCAAGGCCAAATGAAACAGCAGAAAAAGAGAACAGCGAGGATGAAGGGGATAATGTGGATCTTGAGTTTGTTGAAAGCTGGAGCCATGTTGGATGAAGATGATGGCCTAGAATACCAACTGCCAAAGCATCATCGCTGTGCCTGCCACCTCCAGAACTTGGTGTCAACAGTTGATGTCTCAGAAGCGAATGCCAACACTACCTACAAGAAACTCTCTCGTTCAGCGTTTTCAAAGTGCTGGAGTCTGTGGAACAAAAGTGGTAGATCCACCGCAGCTGCAGGGATGATTGCCGAAAAATGCAAACTCCAGCTGTTGGGGCCAAATGAGACGAGATGGAATTCTCTTTTCCTGTCTGTGGAGAGACTTGTCAGGATCGTGATAGAACATTGCAGCTGTGTGCAGTGCACTAAAAATTCCAAAGTAAGTGCCATACCACTTCACTTTTCTGGCTTATTGACTGTAGTACAGGGTTTCTCAATGGGGGCTGTAGCGCCCCCCCCCCCCCCAGTGGGCGTTCAGACTATATAAGGGGGCGGTGAAAGTTTTTTGCCGCTGAGATGCTAATGGTGGGCGCTAGCGATGCAGGACATTCATAACAGACAATGGCTCAGAATAAAAAGAAGTGTTGACAGTACAATGTGCACTACCTTCGGTATGGATGTATTCCTTCACCCACGAATCCACAACTCCCCATGTGCCTGCTTTGTGAACACGTTTTTTCAAACGAAGCAATGAAACCCTCCTGGCTTAAGGAGCACTTGTCCAAAATGCATCCACACAAAGCTTCAAAGGAACTGAGACATTTTCAGGTAATTAAAGAGAGACACTCTAAAAGAGGTAGCATTAGCTGTATGTTTGCCCGAAGCTCAAATTTACTGGACCGAGGATTATTAGCTTCCTACAATATCTCATTGCTAATAGCTAAAAAACATTTTTTATGATACTTTTTTATGACATATTTGTATTGAACAGTTTCAAACTCGAGGCTGAATTTATTTATTCATTTCTGTTAATTATGATTTTTGTATCAAAAAACTTTCCATTTCTCTGTCATTGGTGGCAGTGAGGGATTTCAGCATGACTTGGGGGGGGGGGGTTGAGAAACCCTGCTGCAGTATATGTAATAATATAATATATATGGCAATATAATGTATTAATAAATATTGCAATTTGTGCATGTATATGAACATAAATTAGAGGGAATAAACAAAAGCTCGGAGGCAGGCTTCTGGTGCCGAGAGAGACGACTTACAGATCTTTTTTGCAGGCAGGGGGTCAAAAGGCGAAGGGAGGGTGTGGAGAGTTGAGGGTACGGGGTACAGGTAGACCTGTCGTGTCAGAATGGGGTTTGGGTTAGTCAGTTGGAGGTGTGAATGGCTGTTTTTCAATAGAGGATGAGAGTTTAAACTTTTTCAAGATAACAAAAGAGGTCAAACTGCCTTCATTTAAAACTCTATGGATTCTAATGTCCTGGATGACTGAGAAGCTAAACAAATGCATTTTTGTCTTTTCACAGGCTGACTTCTGCTGAGACAGCCTTTCTGAAAGAATATGTGAAGACAATGAGTCTATTTGCAAAGGCGGTTGATGTTCTTCAGGGAGAGGCCAGTGTGCAAATGGGATGGCTGGTACCCACAATAACACAAGAAAAAGCTTCAGCACCTTCGACCTTCCTCCAAGTTCTGTGGGCCTTTGATAGATGCTCTTCAAGGAGGACTTGAAAAGCGTTTCCAACAGATGCTTGCTGATCCAGAGCTGATTGCTGCAGCTAGTCATGTCCCCAAGTTCAGGACATGTTGGACACGTGACATACCCTGAATCTTGGTAAGAGTTAAGTTTTTTTTTTAAATATGAATTATCCATAAAATATTGGATGATTGTTTTTCCTACAATAACAAGTGAAAATCACATTTAATTTTTGCAAAAATGACAAACTGATGCATGTTACAGGATGATTTAACTCATGAATTATCGTGGGATATATTACGAAATACAACAAAAGTAAAAAATGATCAGGTCACTCTGACTTCATGTGATTAGTTCACATTTAGATTATGATATTCTGAATGTACCGTATTGACCCAAATATAGGACGACCCCCCCCCCCCCCATTTCTAAAAAGCTGGCGCCCTCTGCTGTTGCAGTCGTAACGATCCCAGGCAACTATCAGCATTTGTCAATGGTTAGACCCCGATTATAAAACGACACCGTATTCTTACATTATTTTCAACGAAGAAAACCTCGTCCTATGTTCAAGTCAATATGGTGAATCTGTTTTTCATACTTTATTTGGTATGCAACAAATTAGCTACCGTAATTTCCGGACTATAGAGCGCACCTCAATATAAGCTGCACCAACAAAAAAAAAAGGTTTTCTACACACGCCGCACTCAAATACAAGTCGCGGCGCAGCAGCCACATGCAGGTCTCCGGCAAACAGCGCATGGACGGCCATAACATAAGATAATTCTTCCTCCGCAAACTAAGAAGAGCAAGAGCACCAGCCCCCATCCTGTACACTTTCTACAGAGGCACCATCGAGAGCATCCTGTCGTGCGGCATCACTGTGTGGTTCGGAGCCTGCAACGTTTCCTGCATTAAAACCCTCCAACGTATAGTGAGAGCAGCAGAGAAGATCATTGGGGTCTCTCTCCCCTCCCTACCAGACATTTACAGCACCCGCCTCACAAAAAAGGCCCTTCACATTGCGGCTGATCCCACTCACCCGATGCAAAGCCTCTTCGAGCTGCTGCCGTCAGGAAGGAGACTGCGGAGTCTCAAGGCCAGGACCAACAGACTGAAGGATAGCTTTATCCATCAGGCAGTTAGGAAGCTAAACTCCCTCCCGGCTCTCCCAACTCTCCTCTCTTTTCCCCCACAGTCTCTCTGAACTTGGTTACTGTTTTTATACTAAATGTTTATTTTCTATCTAGCGAGAGTTTGAGAGTAACGTAATTTCATTTCTCTGTATGTCCTGTACATGTGGCAGAAGTGACAATTAAACTGACTTTGACTTTGACTTAAACAGGAAGACGCTACACGGAGGTTTTTCGTTGTTGTTTTAATTCAACAAAACAAATTTTAAACACGGGTGAACGTGCCTGCAAGTTTAGAAAAGAAAACAGCTCTGATAGCATTCTTATTTCTGGATGGTTATAAAATAAAAACAGCACTGACACGTTATTACCGGTAATTTGCATATTTAGAAGAAAAGAACAGCGCTGACACAGCATTAATAAGCCCTGGATGATTAGAAAATAAAAACTGCACACAAAACATGCCTGGTTAGTAAATAAAACACACTTGCCTACCAGAAAAAGTCATTCGCTCTCATCTTCCTCCTGCGCACTAAAGCCATTAAAGTCCTCTTCTTCAGTGTCGGAGTTGAACAGCCTCAGAAGAGCTTCGTCACATACCTTTTCTGTGGCGATGTCAGCGTCGCTGTCCGTGTTGCTGTCATCATCCCCGGGTGAAGCTGGCTTGAATGAGTTCTTCCTGCTGCCGTCTCCAGTGCCGAACCATGGGTTCATTCATGCCAAGCTTACGTGCGGCAGCACTGTTTCCCTCCTTTACTGCCAGATCGATGGCCTTCAACTTAAATGTGGCATCATATGAACTCATACGTGTAGTTTCCATGATGAGGGGGTATGGATTTGAAACAAATTCTTCGTCGTGCCGGCTGCTTGCATGTGCTAAATTAAAATGAGCACTTTCTTCCATTTCCACTTTTGACTTCCACCTGTTTCACTTTCTGCTAAAGCGCCCCCTGCAGGTGAAGGAAAATCTTCAGTAAAGCCGCACCTCATTATTAGCCGCATGGTTCAAAGCGTGGGAAAAAAGTAGCGGCTTATAGTCCGGAAAATACGGTATGTTATATTAATTGAGGTGATGAATTTGGTGATAAATTATAATCTTTTTGATTTTGTCATTCATAGGCCTTGGCTTCATCAGAAGCCATCTGAAGGAGCAACCCGTGTTGCAGCCAGGTGACACGTCCTTTTCTTCAGAGGAGGAGGACTTCTTTTTCACCATCAGGCAGGCCAACGATCAGGAAAACGCCAAGCAGCTGGAGTCCTACCTGGCCTGTCCATCAGATTCTATGGATATCTTGAAATCTTTATCACTGAAGCTGAACACACCTCTGCCTGCCTCAGCTGCTTTTCAGCACTGCAGGACTCATTTTCAGACCCAAAAGGGCACGTGTTGATGCAAAGAACCTGGAAAACCAGCTTCTGATGAAGCTCAATAAAAAGTTTATTTAGTCTCAAACGGTCAATTCCTCTCAAAAGGAAATAATACTTGAGGATTTGAAGTGACCTTGATTCCATGATCACAATGTTTTAAGTCAAGTTGCCGAAAAAACTATTTCGGTTAAATGCTCCCATATGTGGTGACAGCAATAACATTAATAGCATCGTATCTCCAGGAATTATTGTTGTTGTTGAAATAAACTTCTCATTCCAAACCTGATGCTTTTTTTTCTGTTGTTTAAGGTTTAATTTGTTTTTACTTTTCGTACTTAAGTACTTTTTAGAGCCTGTATTTTTTACTTTTACTTAAGTAAATAAATTCACTCAGTACCTTCACTTTTACCATAGTTTTTTACACAGGTATCTGTACTTCTTCTTAAGTAAAGAACATCGGTACTTTTGCCATCTCTGCTGTACGGGTATAGTTATCTTTATCGTAGTGAACTGCTCAACACATCGTGAT